ATAAACGTATTCATTCAGGGGAAAAACTTCATGAATGTGATATTTGTCAAAAAAAGTTTCTACGCAAGGATGATTTTTCCAGACATAAAAACATTCATTCTAAAGATAAAAAACAATCAAATGAAAATTTTCCTGTGCTGTCACATTTATTAAAACATACTGAAATTCATTTTGGAGGTACAAAACATATTTGTGATGTATGTCATAAACAGTTTCAGTGTCACAGCACCTTAGCTAGACACCAACGTATTCATTCTGGGGAAAAACTTCATGAATGTGATGTATGTCAAAAAACGTTTCTGTGCAAGGATGATTTATACAGACATAAAAATATTCATTCCAGAGGTAAAAAACATGGATCTAATGTTTGCTTTGAAAATTCGTCTCAAGAGTATATTCCATTACAACAAAATGTTGCAAAGTCTACAGAAAAACAATATGAACATGAAAAGGTTTCTGATCATGTATTAAAATGTGCAAAAATTCATTTTGGGGGCAAAGGTAAGGTTTGCCATAAACAGTTTCCACAGAAGTATGAATTATCTAGACATAAACGTATTTATTCTAGGGAAAAAGAACTTGAATGTGATGTTTGTCAAGAGAAATTTAAGAAAAAGCTTGATTTATCCAGACATAAAAAGATACATGCTGAGAAAGAGCAATATGGATGTGATGTCTGTCATCGAGTATTTCCACAGAAAAGTGCTTTATCAAGACATAAAAAGGTTCATTCAGGAGAAAAACAATATCAATGTGATAGTTGTCAAAAAACATTTCTTCGGAAAGATGAATTAACCAGACATAAAATGATTCACTCTAAAAAGTATGAATGTGATGTTTGTCATAAAAAGTTTGCTATTGAATCATTTTTAATTAAACATCAAAAGATACATTTGACAGACAAGCAATTTGAATCTAATTGTAGTGAAATGTTTTCAAGAGAATCAAATGTATCAGAACAAACTAAATTTGATGTTGGAGAGAAAAGACACGAGTGTGATGTATGCCATTTAAAGTTTCTTCGGCATTATGAATTATCCAGGCATAAATTTAGACATATGGAAAAAAAATTTAAATGTGATGATTGTCATAAAGAGTTTGTACGGAAAGATGAATTATCTCGACATATTATAAACCGTCATCCTGGGGAAGATCAACATGAATGTGATGTTTGTCATAAAAGATATTTAATTAAAGATAGTTTAACTGCACATAAAAAGTTGCATCTAGAGAGAAGCTAACTTTGTAGTAATATGTTATGAAAATGTTTTTAAACAGACATTTTATTTAGGCATAAAAATGTCCATAAGGGAAATAGATCCACATGTTCGTTGATGTATTAAAAATATGTTTGAAAATGCAATTTATTAATACAGCCAAATGGTTCTTGATAGTTTGTAGCTGTCTTGCAGTTTGTTCTTGCATGGACAAGGGCTATAGAAGCAAATTCAGATAGAAAAGCGGGCTGAAATCATAATCACCTACCATATGGTGCATAACGTGTTGAGTTGTATAATACTTGCGTTGGAGGAAATCTCTTTTTACAATAGAATTAAGAACGAAGAAGAAGATAAAGAACACGTAATGAAATAGAGGTAGTACTGTTAATTATATTCTTTAAAGCCTTCACTTTGTATCACTCTGATTAAGTTATCGGAATGCAGCAAAATCTCAATTACTGTGCTGCTCTGTGAGCCCTTTTCCTCATCACCTTTGTATTACAAAGAACATCAGAGCACAGTAACAGACAACCAAGAAAAGATGTTATACCAATTTAAGATCCGCCAGGTGATCTATGCTCGTGAAAAAGTTATGTCATTTTTAATTTTTTTGTAATTTTGACAATGATTGTTGACTTTGAAATATTTTGAAACAAAATAAACGCTACTAGCACAACTGTAAATATATCTACAGTTCAAATCAATACATTGTTTTAATAAGGTATTTATTGAAAATTTTTTTTCAATATTTCCAATTTTGTCTATCTAGTCCTTACTCCCCTCCCTCCCCAATCATAGTTTTGTGGCTAGTCAATTTATTATAATATTTTAAAATTCATTCTATATAAATATAAAGTTTATGTACTAATGGTTTATTTATAAGTTATATTTTTACAACTTCTATTTACATAACTTAGGCAAATAAGTTTACTACAGAAGTGTTTACTTGTTTCCTTTCATAATTTAAGAAAACATCATTTCATAATTTTGATATTTCTTTATTTTTGTAATAAAAGATTATAGAAGCCGTGCTGAAAAACTGTTTTGTTAAAATGCAATTTAATTGTAAATTAAAATTTAAATACTAATGTCTTTTGTTTTATTTTTATAAATGGTTGTTACTTTTCTAATCCATTACAAACACTAAATTATCTCATCAAAACAGCAGCCAATGTCACATGTGGCATTATAAACTGTTTCTAAAATAGATCCAAGCATGCATGTTTTATCTCAGCGGTTTTCTTTATATCATGCATCACTTAATAGTCACAAAAGTTGTGTTTTATTTAAAGCAATACAACTGGACTAATCAGCCCAGTAGTAGTCACGTCTAAATTTGAAGTTAAACATTATTTGTTTTAAAAATAGTGAAGTTTTACAATTGATAAAAAAAAATATCCGACGGATACTCAAAATAACAGCAACCCCTACACGTAACATTAACAAGATGTAAAAAAAATATGTTTAAAACTATTGAAACCTGAAATTATAAGCAAAAATATTCACCCACACAAACATTAATTACCTAAGTAATATGTAATATATCTTTCACTTATGGAAGCCTGATTTAAACGTTTAAACCTAAATGAAAATAACTTTTGACATACAATTTTATTTCTCATTTGAAAGTGAAGCACTAATCTATGTCTACATATATTCACAAACATAAATCTAAAATAGTAAAATTGCTAAACCCTTTTTTGAACTAATGCAAATACCATGTAAGTAAATAAACAGGCAAACATTGTTTACACTAATTTGACAGAAAACAACATACGGTTATTTGTGCATTACTCGAGCACTAATCTATTGTGTAGTGATATAGTTAACATTTATAAGTTTATTTTGAACACACTGCACATCTTTCGATCCCAACCACCCCGTCACAATAATAAAATGAATAATAGTAAAACACAATAAGCACAGAAACAGCTAGATATACTGAAAAAACAAATAACCGACTGAAACCAAAAACAGACAAACTGAACGCCTCGAGGAAAAAAAAAAGAAAGCAAGGAGATGTGGAGGAAGCAGCTGGCAGAGGCAGGACTGTAATGGGGGACTGCCAGGAAAATTGGCGTAGACCGACAAAAGTAAATGGGAGATTTCTGCGTCGGTCCAATGTTTCACGAACAAAAGATTGTTAAACTGGTTGGTATTATTTTGTGCTGTGTGTATTTTTCACCAAACATTTGCGAAAGATTATTTTATTTTCTATCAAAATGGCATTAGTTTTAATATTTAGCAGGTGTAGGATTAGTGGGATAACCAGGAATCGGTCATGGGAGGGGTTCAGATATGTTTCCATATCTATAAAATCATATATATATATATATATATATATAGGGGTTTGAATCCATGGGAGGGGTTATAACCCCCCCCCTAAACCCCCTTGCCTACGCCACTGTGTAGGATGCATGCCTTAGGTGAACAAGTGATGGACATGTAGGCCTACACCCATAATTTCGTCTTTACTTGTAAAGTGAGCGAAAATATACGTGTTCTAACGGTATGGACACGCTGACCATTATAGTGTCATATCTAAATGGCTGTCCTAAGCAGATCTCTATGGGTAACTTGATGCACTTGTCCAGGTAGCAGTGGGGCTATTGTCTACCTGGATACCATCCCATCCCCACCGTGCATGTAATCCCCACGGATTAAATTACAGTGGCGCCTTGAGTCACTAGCATAAATTAAGATTATATTTTACCTGTGTTGCAGTTTGAATCCCCCCCCCCCTCATCTCCCTACACATACTTACTCTCAGTACTGAAGTTTTATATCAGATCGACAATCTGTTATATAATTGAGACCTGACAAAAAACGTATTTGTAGTCGAATATTCTGTTTGCATGACTTCTATTTCAGGTTAGATGTTGAAGATTGCATTTTCTTGTTTGCATGCATCATTTTGGCTATCTGTAAAGTCTCAAAGAGTGTTGGCACAAAAATATAATGATTTTTTATTATAAAAAACCTGCTGTAAGGGCTCATCCATAAATGACGTCACGCTTTTTTGGACGATTTTTACCTCCCCCACTCCCCTCCGTCACACGTCACAAAAGGCCAGGCCCCCCCTAAAACGACGTCACTCCTCAGGCTACAATCTCCCCCCCCCCCCCCCTACACGATATTGCAGTTGGATTTTTCTCAAAACATGGCTATTTTTTAAAAAATATTGTCTGAACTCGGTCAACATAGAGTATTTAATCAATTTGTATTACAATTTATTAAAACAGTTTTCTAAAACGCGAAATAACGGCTAAAATTCGTGTTCTAACATTGCTTTTTTATAATGCAAAAGTGTGACGTCACACCATCTGAACACCCCCCTCCCCCTCATCACACATCGTCACAAAATTACGGACTCCCCACCCCTACGAGTCTGACGTCATTTATTTATGGACGACCCCTAACTTTAAATATTGTAAATTTACTAATGAGGTTTTTATATAAGTATTTTGGTCGCTTATAACATCTTAGTCGCTCATGAGATCTTTTAGAAACCAAATCTTATACGAAATAAAGCAAACTAGTTTTAATATCTTATTTCCAGTGCATTCAAATGCTTGCTATAAAAATATTTATATATATTTTTTAAGAGTACGGAGCACTGTAACTTAATTTATAATCTTGCCTGAATGGACTTGGCTTTGCCATTACCAGAGGAATGATGTAACAAAATCTGCCGGATGGAAAGAAAATAACTAGGGCGTGACATAACTGCACCTAGTCTTGCAAACGTGTGTTCGGTATTCAAAACTCTCTCTAGGCCTACCTATGTGATACACAAGTGAGATGTAGCACATCCGGTATAAATTATCTTGATCAAAGCTGTATATTTTCTAAACTACATTAGATCTAAGTTTCAACAGAAATACCTGTCTATAACAACTGACATCGTCGTGACAACAGTAAGTTTCGATTTGTTATAGTTATGTTCTCATCTAATGTGCTTGCCAATGTTCACCATATAGTTACACATTAAAAATATACATTTAGATAATAGCTCGATGATGACAAAGGTCCAGTGGTTATAATTTGTGGAGATCACATTTAGTGGTCGACCACTGTAGTTAAATGAGATTGATGAGAAGGTAATGATGGCTAGGCATTTTAAGTTAATGGTATGTGTACAATTTTGCAAAATTCATGTCTTATAGATGTGGACAAGCTGACCATTATAGTGTCACATCCTCATGGCTGTTCTTGATACCATATACATTTATGTGAATGTTTATATCAATGTTTGCAACTGTAACAGTATCTGCCTAAGGCTAAAACTGCAATGATGAATACGCATTTTGCAGATGTAGGCCTACACTAGCCACCTAAAGCCAAAAGTTATATCCGCATATTTGCATCTGCGGTTCAACGATTACGCATTGTGTTACATACGTAAGCCTTGTTTTGCTGTGCTTCTTGTGCTCAATCAAATCAATGTTTAGGTAAATATATTTATTCTGTGTGTATTATGTAATGCAGTGTACATAATCTCGGGGTTGTTTCATTATTTGTGTTAAAACACTGTTAATTTTAAAATCAGGAAGTAACGCTAAAGACTCAGACGAAAACAATATGGCAAGTGAAGAAGACGTATCACAGTATTTTAGAGGTAGTGTCAATTTAGTATCTCTTTATGCAAAATGTAACAGAGCAAAAAAATCTATCATCTTTCCCTTTTGGGTCCAACACACATGGTGCCGTCATAGAAAAAACTCTGTCCACTTTAGACCATCTGTGGTTGTCACCCAAATTGTCCTGCTTTTGCCAGTTGTTTTTCTGCTGTGGGTCTCCGTGTCTTTCTTGTCTTTCTCTGTTTTCTTCCTCTTTAGGCGTCCGGCTAAACGCCATTACTGCAATATACTCTGAAGTCATTCTCAAAACATGACACATCCAGCGCCATCCTCATTTTGTCATTTCCTTTTACATTTCAGCCAGTAATCTATTATATCCTTATAATCAGAGTTTCTTCCAGGCATCTCTACCGCGCTCCCCCCCCCCCCCCGAATGAGAAGGATTTTATATAGTAAAAATGTTGATCGCCTCCCCCCCCCCAAAAAAAAAATGCAAGTGCCCCCCCCCCCCGGAGAAAAAAAGTCTGGAAGAAACACTGCTTATATTTTTAATACAATCGACATACCTATAAATTAATTAGCCGGATCTAAAGATTTTATTTTGATTTATTTCATTAAAAGATATACTTTTTTTGTAATCTTTACATTTGACTACTTTTCTAGATTAATGTGTTTTGGTTTAACAACTTATAGAAAATTTGCGTATTTTTAAATGTCCAGGTACACATGAAGTTCAAGAATGTCTTGAAGGTCAAGGCGAGGCACATCTAAAAACATACAACGCAAAATGTACAAAAAACCCAGGACACACGCGATTTATACCAGTCAAAACTTTAACATTACAACATTTTCCTTCTGGTTACCAAGACAACGACCTGTTTGATCTTATCAAAGCCATGTCTGACGTCACGGTTAGGATATACGCTAAGTTCACCAGTTTTGATAGACCAGAGTTTATAACTGGCACCACAGATCGTTATCCGTTTTATGCCTCAAGGGGGATGCACAAACTGAGGTCAGGGAGTGGGAGGGTGTATCATGTTGACAAGTACTCTGAAGAAAAGCACAACATGACATGTCCATGTCCTGAATGTGTGGTTTCCCCCACACCCAGCAAAGTGTGGTGGAAGGTTGGTATACTGACAGCCAGACATGTGGTGTTTGATTCGAGTGAGGCTAGACAGTCCAGCTGTAGGTTGTGGTTTGATGAGGAGAAATGTCCAGTCGTTAAAATCTATGGGTGGACATTGGATGCGTCAGACACTGATATGGATAGGTGCAGGATGCATTGTGTGACGCATGACTTAGCGTTAGGTGAAAAACTGAAAGATATGTACATGAATTTTTTCCGTCTTTATTGTAAAGTGAAGGACAAATATAAGTGTCATAACGGTATGGACAAGCTGACCATTATAGTGTCACATCCACATGGCTGTTCTAAGCAGGTCTCTATTGGTAACTGGGTACACAAGCAGAAGTTGGAGAGAAGGACGAGATACACCTACACCACGTGCACCTGTCCAGGTAGCAGCGGGGCTATCGTCTACAGAGTGGGGGGTCCCTGGTCTTCAGCCCACCATAACAGCGGAGGAACGCCTTCTGGATTAAATTACAGTGGCGCGTGGAAAGATAGTACTGGCTAATTACGTTGGCGCATGAACATATTGCACTGTCAATTTACAGTAACGAGTATCTTTAAACATGTTTAAACCTTCTCTGTTAATGAAAAGATCACGTCTCAAATATTTCAAACTACTCAACACGCCATGATAAATACACAAATAAATTGAATTGTGATTAACAATACATGTTTAAGGCAACAATGGTCTAATTAACCTTATATCGATTTCAAAATGCGTGTCGTGTTGCATTATTGTAATAAAAGTGTTTATACATAAAAAAGACAATACATAAAAAATAAATACATAAAAATCAAAACATACGATATAGTATCCTGTAAAATGACATTTATTTGATCAGCTTTCATCAGTTTTAAAATCGACTTTGTACTTTTTATTAGTAAATACAATGGTAGACATATTTTTTTTTTAATTTTGTCATGTTTTTTTGTACAGATTATATTTGATGATTAGTTTATCACTATATGGTGTAAGTCATTCCGTGTCTCACGTTCTACCAACACTGTTCTCTCTGCTTAATCTTTATTTGGTTTTCTACCACCACCTTCCTTGCTCTGTCTCTCGGTTTTCTGAGCATATACCCTAAGATGGCTCTATTTATATACAACCCCAGACATATACTAAATAGGTAAAAATGTGACACATTTAAAATAACATAGGTTACCAATACCTATTAGAAAAATTAAAAAGGAAATTATATACATTATTAGTCAACACAACACAATATTAAATGCACACGTTGATTATTAAGAGACCTAAATGATTCCGTTAAAATTCGGCTGTTCAATGGTCATTGTTATTTTTTAAAGTAATTTGTGTTAGTTGTATACGTTTCATAGCGTAGGCTACTATAAGTAGATCTATAAAATCTAGATCTAAATCAAATTTTAATGAAATTTTTCATTTTTTTATATACAAAAATTGGAAGATGACGCCATTAGTGTTGTAGTCTTTCCGTAGTTTAAACATGTGGTATGTGGCGACATTATTTATTGCGTTCTTGTCACAACCATAAACACTTTTCCAGTTGCATAATTAAAAAAATGATTTTTTACTTTCGAATATTGCTCTATTTTTATTTTCTTTAAATAAAATTAAGTTTATACATTTAAAAGATCCACCATATTATTTTCAACAAAAGTCTATATCTTTAAGTTCTCCACACATCGCTGAAGATATTGATCTCTTAGGCTCGGGACATTCGGAGAGAGAGAGAGAGAGACAGAGAGAGAGAGAGAAGTGCGTACATGGGCTTTTATATATTAGGATTGTTGGTCCATCTGCGACTACTACATTTGTTACAAAACACTTACTTTCACCAAGTCTGTTTCTAGTCACACCAGTTACTATCAACATCATGATTATGTCACAGTTACATAATAGCTCATTTATTTATTTATATATCTATATATATATATATATATATATATATATATATATATATATATATATATATATATATATACATATATATTTAAACAGTCTACAAGATACGATTTACAAATTTTTTTAGGAAAATATATGTAATTATTATTATTATTGCTTATTTAAACTTGCTTTTGTAATTTTTATTAATTTCTATATAAACCAACCACAGAAGCACACATATATTGATTTAATCCGTGCTGTATAAAAGTCTTATATATAATCTGCATGAACATTGAAAAAAATCAAACAAAAAATTAAAGATAAAATTATGATATCGAATGATGATATCTTTTGTTATATGTTTTACATTTATTTGTTAGTAGTTTATCAACTTGGTGATTATTACTATAAAAAGGGCACAGTAAAATTTGATGGTACGGGTATTATGATAGGGTTCCTATCACATTAAAGATGTGCATATATTTGACATTTTACCATTTAAAAAAGCACAATTTTTATTTGTATTCAACTCACTACATTTTTAAAACATGTACATTAAATCAGCAAAATGAATTGTAAAATTTTCTGTAATTAGTTTAGCTGTTTAATATTGATTTTGGAATTAATTATGTCTTGCTGATACTATTCTTTCAGCCATACAACTTGCTGCAGCGCCAATGGCAGCACCACCAACTGCACCAACGGGACCTGCTGCTAGACTACCAGCTATTGCTCCTGTAATAGCACCAGCTAACGCGCCTCTACAGCCGATTGAATCACTTAATCTGATACTTAATCTGACAGCAAAGTCCGCCATCTGTGCAAAATAACTCCGTTCTGATTCTTGTTTTATTCCTGTGTATAGTACTATTTGATTTGAAATGTCACTTTTAAGTCTGTTGTTTTCTTCAACTTGACATCTTGTGGCACGATCTCTTTCTCTTGCTAGCTGTTCTCTGATCTTCTTTATATCTTCATTGTTTTTATTTTTTAATTCTTCTTCCTTCCTTTTAAACTCTTCTATCCGCTGAATGGATTTTTGATTGTATTGAATGAGATGCCAAACAATCTTTTTATCTCCTTGAACATGTTCTAGTAATTTGTTTAAAGCGCCTGTGCCTTTATCCTTTCTTTTGATTTCATTGATTAATTTATCTATTTCTGGTATGAGATTTTTAAGGGAGTTAACTTTCTTCTGTTCACTAGTTTCAGTTTGAATAAGTTGAATTAAATCTAATATTATTTTCTGTTGCAATAAATTTTCTTTTTCAATCAATGGGGAAGTAGCATTTAGAAATATTTTGTTTCTTTTTATTTCCACTTTTTTAAAATGTCTATTTGTATATCTTGTACCTTTACATGGAAGTTGGTCCACCATTGTAACTAAATCTTTCACTTGTTTCTGTCTCACCGCTTCATCTTTTATGCGATTATTAAATAAAACGATTCTATTGTTGCATTCTGTTAAAAGCTTCTTAAAATACGCCTCTTGCTTCAAACAGTACTTTTCAAATGTTAGATTTTTATCCTCATTGTCATTTAGAAAATCATCTCCACCACTCATAACAATGATGCCAAAGTCTTTAAGGAAACGTCTTCCTATTATTCCTTTTAAAACGTCTAATACAGATTGTTCTTCACTAGTTTGACGTGCACCATACTTAACAACAAATAGAAATGCATGATATCCTTCAGGATTCGCTATCATTGCTTTCGTAATAGCATTTGAAACTATTTTTATTGCATCGGTTTTGTTATATTCGGTATCATTAGTTCCGGGAACATCAACGACTTGGATTAGTCGATCTTCAAAAAGGCAAACTTCAAACTGGGCGTCTTTTGTTTCTGAAGTCGTATCCCCTGATGTACTAAATGCTTTATTCCCAAGAATTGAGTTGCCAATGGAGCTTTTACCACTACCGGTTTTACCAAGTAAAAGTAGATCAGTTTTCTTTGAAGTATCCATTATTAGCTTAAAATAAATAAAATAAGTAAATTATATCGTACCATGAGACATGGTGTTATTGAGTTAAATTTGTTACAGAACACAACATACTACTTTTCAAACGTGTTAACCTATTGGGATCATGGTAGTTGGGATGTAGCATGACTTATTTCTGAACATAATTACTAGCAATTTGAAAAAAGAAATATACTTGGCAAAATAAAAGACAATTCAATTCATTAAAAAAATATGACTGCTAAAATAATAATTTTATAAAATAAACATAATGGGGCACATCAGAAACTAATGTAAAAACATAAATAAAATATCTACTTATCACACCTCTCAATATACAAATAGTTACACTCTTGCCATTTATCGTCGATCTCTTTACGTTTCACTTTACATACCTGAATCGCTTTCTATATGAACCTATCTCTTTCTCTCTCTCTCATTCTTTCTCTCCCCCTCTCTCTCTCTCTCTCTCTCTCTCTCTCTCTCTCTCTCTCTCTCTCTCTCTCTCTCTCTCTCTCTGAACTATTAATATGTTTCTCTTTAAACTAGAACAAGCAATTTAATCATACTATCGATAATGTGGATCAATTGGGGGACTATTCTTTGTTTCTTTTAAGTATAAGGCAATAAACATTTTACAAAAATTAACAAGTTTTATAACAAGCTTTTATGTAATAATACACTAAAAATGAAAATAAATGATGTTCTTTAAATAAAAAAAATTAACTTATATTTTTTAAATTCTAATAAAAATATTCAATACATAACAAAGCAACCCACGCTTTTCTTTTTAGTTATTTAAATATTCAATCATTATATATTTAAAGAAAATCAAGGATTTTCACATTTTTATTGCATAATTATTATATAAAAGCATGTATCTAAAATTATTATATCCATTTTTATAACTTCTATTTAAATTGCTTCCTCTGTAAGTCTTTTTACAAGATTTTTGATTAAACTTTCTTTAATTGTTTTGTCTGTATGAACTGGCCAGCAAAAATTCGACCACTTTTAAACAACACATTTCTCTGAAACTTAGGGTAAAGACACATGAATATGCAATCTAACATCAAATTTGACCTAATTGGATGCTTGGGTCGCAAGTTAAGTAAAAGATTATAAAAAGGAGTCGTTTAGTGCATATTTGATGGAATTTAACGAGAAGGTTCCGTTGAGTAGATGTAATCGATAAATATGCCAATAATAAGGGATTCAATCGATCGTTCGATGTGTGCTAATCGACAATCTATTATTAGTGATTAGATCAATAAAATAATGATCGCAATGGCTGTTCGATTAGATTGGTACGGTAGTTAAGTATACAAGAATAATTTCAGATTCGGTAGATAAATAAACCATTTTAATTATATATATATATATATATATATATATATATATATATATATATATATATATATATATATATATGCCTATATATATATATATATATATATATATATATATATATATATATATATATATATATATATATATATATATATATATATATATATATATATAATAAATAAATAAATGAATTTTTATATATATATATATATATATATATATATATATATATATATGTTTGTGTTGTGTGTGTGTTTCAAATATCATTAATTAAAATCGACAGTTTATTTTATAATTAATGAGCTGATAGACCGTCCAAACCAATACGTCTAATTGAAATGTACTTACATTCAATCAGGTATATTCTGTAGATGTAAAAATATTTCACGGACTATCTTGCTCAAATCTTCTTTCCTTTACTTACAAGTCAACAGAGCTATGGCGCATTCAATAGACTCCCAGTTCTAAATGATCAATACTGAGAGGTTGTTTGCCCTTGATCGATGTGTGGCACCACCTACTGCTGTGATTGCTAGTAAATAAATTTGGATCTATAAAAATGTTATTCAATTTAACTTTTTAAAATATAAAACTTCAGCATTTATTTATGTAACAAAATGTTGTACCTGAACAGAAAGATGAATAGCCTTCCTGTTTAAATTTAGATTTATTAAATGTTGCTTCTTCACTTCTTTCCTAAAAATGTATCAGGATCAGGTTTCGTAGAAAAATTTTACTTGCAATTTCAGTTTTATTTTTAAATCGATCTATACAGTGATTCGTAAAAGTTGTAAACGAATTTTTCTAAATAGTCGGAAAATTGAAATAATCTCTTTTTAAAACATTTTGAGGGTCAGTAGCGTGAATGTGTGTACGTAGGGGACGCCCGAAAAAATTCTACCGCCCCCCCCCCCCCACGAACGAAATGAAATTTATATAATTTATATAGAAAATAAAAACTTTTAACAGTGTCCGCCCCCGCGAAGAAAGTCTACCGCCCCCCCCCCCCGAAAATTTCAAGTGACCCCCCCCCCCCCGGAGGAAAAAGTCTGAAAGAAACACTGGCCTCAAGCTCATCTTCTTGACAAGTACTTCATGTGTACAGGTAAAAATATACCGTTGATTAGAAAAGCCTTACATTTTTTGTGTACCTGTTCAAGTAAAAATATACCGTTGGATAGAACAACCTTAAAATTTTTGTGTACCTGTACAGATTTAAAAAAAAAACAATTGTGTGTACACATTCTGGTGAAAAGAACAATACACATTTTATGTCAATGTACAGGTAAACAAAACAGCGAAAAATATGTCTTTTAATGTCCATGCTATTTTTTTGTTCTTAAGATCATCTGTCCTTGTGATTTGGTGTATGAGATATTTTGTCTTTGAGGTCATTTGTCCTTGAGATATTTTGTCCTTGAGATCATTTGTCCTTGAGATATTTTGTCCTTGAGATCATTTGTCCTGAGATATTTTGTCCTTGAGATCATTTGTCCTTGAGATATTTTGTCCTTGAGATCATTTGTCCTGAGATATTTTGTCCTTGAGATCATTTGTCCTTGAGATATTTTGTTCTTGAGTTCATTTGTCCTTGAAATATTTTGTCCTTGAGATCATTTGTCCTTGAGATATTTTGTTCTTGAGTTCATTTGTCCTTGAAATATTTTGTCCTTGAGATCATTTGTCCTTGATATATTTTGTCCTTGAGATCATTTGTCCTTTTGATATTTCGTTCTTGAGATAATTTGTCCTTGAGAATTTTTGTCTGAGATATGTTGTCCTGGGATCATTATTCATGGATCCATGTCTAAATGCAGATGTAAATAAAATAATGTTATGCTTCTTATGTGCACTTGCAAAAAACAAAACAAAAACAATTTTGTATGAATCCTATTTTCAATGCTGTGTGTTATATGAGTGAATCGGATTGCGAACAAATAGCGGTGAAAACGAATAATAAATGCATCCGTTTATAAGACATAGTATAGTGACCTCTCTGTGTTGCTGTGGAGAGAAAGGTTAGTTTAATTTCCTTCTAGACTTTGGATCAGTGTTTCTTCCAGACATCTCTTTGCCCCCCCCCCCCCCCCCCCCCCCCGAAGAGAGTGTACCGCCCCCCCCCCCTGTGGCGGGGGAATATTCTTTTCTCTATATTAATTTCCTTCTCGACTATAAAGTAATCAGCAGTCTCCACTCATATAAATAAAACAATTAACAAAATATTTAACCATCACAGCAGTTAGGTTAATAATAATAAATTACACTTTAGACAGGCGATTCATGCAAGAATAAAAGATGTATGACATAAAAATAAAAGGAGCGCGTCGTGTTTGACAGTCTCAAGGTTTGTACAATAATACAAATACAAAACCAAATAAACCAAGGAAAAAAAAGCACAATTACAGTCAGAGTTTCTTCCAGCCATCTCTTCGCCCCTCCCCCCCCCCCCCGAACGAAATGAAACTTATATAATTTATATAGAAAATATATACTTTTAACAGTGTCCGCCCCCCGAAGAAAGTCTACCGCCCCCCCCCCCCCCCGAAAATTTCATGTGCCCCCCCCCCCCCCCACCGGAGAAAAAAGTCTGGAAGAAACACTGGTTACTGTTTTGTTCTGACAGAACGTCTTAGTGTATCGGTGGGGTGGACGGGACTTTTATATCTATTAGTAACTGCTGTTAACAATAAAAGAAGTTACCGTGTAAGGCGAAATCAATAAATGATGTAATTAAAATGCTTTCAAATAACTTTTTTTTTACAACTTACTAAATTTGTCGTAAAGTTAAATGGATAAAAAAAATTAAAAGAATAGAGAGGTGGTGGGACAGGAAGCCGTAGGTGGGGGGGGGGGGGGGGGTGAACGGAAAAAAGTCACAGAAATAAAGTCACAGAAAAAAAGTCACAAGTTTTAGAAATATTTTGATTTATTTGTTAAGAATTGTAAAATTGTGTATGTTTATTGTTTTGGGTTGTATTTTTTGATGGCATAAATTATTTATAGACGTTAAATGCATTATGGTTTATAACAATTGTACGTAAAAATACTCTTAGATAATTTACACAACAATCTCAACTTTTGTTACGTATTTAGTTAAATACGCGGTAGAAAAGTTAATTACAAAAGAAATTTAGGCAAATTTTGCCGTAGGCTATTCTCTGGTCGGCATCTCCTCAGTAGGCATTGTCCGAACATATTTTGTGTTTTTGACGTTATGCATCAATGGCCGCCTTTGAACCTTGTCGGCTTTCTGTTTTGATCCTAAGTTTTGTTATGTAATGAGCGTGATAAATGTGGGCTGTAACGGTGGTTCAACTAAACCTAACTATTGTTGCCATGAGTTGAGGGCAGAAAGTCAGAAGAACTTACTATTTCACGGTAATTTAATGTTAGTATTTAAAAAAAACACGATGAAAACAGTGGACTTAGGAGCATTCTATTAAATGCTACTACTCTTAAGTTTAACATAGTTACAATCTACATACTTCATACTAAGTATTTTTAGATTAATTATAAAAATTACTATGCGTATACAGCCTACACACATTACATTACATTTAATTAATCCTAAGTTAATTTGCACTCTCTAAATATTTAATACATAACAATATTAACAAATATCATGCAAATATATATTTGTGACTTTTTTTCTGTGTTTTTTTTTTCCTGCGTTTTTTTTCCTGTGACTTTTTTTCCTACTATCAGGTGGGGGTTAGTTGGATAAAGCGAACCAGGCAGCGCGATCGTTGTTGCGTGACATGACTGCTAAAAGGGGAGGTAACTCTCCCAGTCTCACGAGGAGAGAATAAAACAAGTAATATCTTATTTAACAATCACAGGAGATCAGCCAATGACAATACATTTCATGAATGAATAACATATGTTTGAAGTAGAAAGAACTTATCCTGTTTGACAGCCTCAGAGTTGATGCAATGATACAAATACAAAACAGAATTGCTTTACATTTTTATAGTGATATATCTTGCTGCTAGCAATAAAAGAAATTGCCGTGTATGCAAACGTCAATAAACAGTGCAATTACACTACTTTCAAGAACCAGGATTTAACAACCTGCTAAATTCTGCCACAAAGTTAATTGGCTAACCAAAAAAAAAAAAAAAAAAAAAAAAAAAAAAAAAAAAAAAAAGTACAGTGGCGGGGTGGGGAGGGGTGGGTGGGGGTTGGTTGTGTAAGGCAGGCCAAGCAGCATGATCGTTGTTGCGTGACGTGACAGATAAAAGGGGAGATAAATCTTCCAGTCTTACGTGATACAGTATTAGGGGTATCGAACATTGGTGACAAAGGGGGATCTCAAATACATTGCTTTTTTTTGGGAGGTGAGGCGTGCTTGAACAACAGATGTATGAAACAAAAGGAGCTTATCATGCTTGACAGCCTTAGAGTTGTTACAATAATACAATTTCAAAAAGAAATTAACATTATTATACTGGTGTGTCTATTGACAGCTACAGTTCACAATATAGAGCTTGCCGTGTATGGCAAATGTAAATAAACAATGCAATTAGAAAACTTTCAAATAAAAAATTCGAAACCGCCAAAATGTGCCTAAAAGTTACATGGTTAAACAAAATTGAAAGAACAGAACAGTGGTGGGGCGGGGAGGTGTAGGTGGGGGTTGGTTGGGTGGGCGGGGAGGTATAGGTGGGGGTTGGTTGTGTGGGCGGGGAGGTGTAGGTGGGGGTTGGTTGTGTGGGCTGGGATGTGTAGGTGGGGGTTGGTTGGGTGGGCGGGGAGGTGTAGGTGGGGGTTGGTTGGGTGGGCGGGGAGGTGTAGGTGGGGGTTGGTTGTGTGGGCTGGGATGTGTAGGTGGGGGTTGGTTGGGTGGGCGGGGAGGTGTCGGTGGGGGTTGGTTGGGTAAGGCGGGGAGGTGTAGTTGGGGGTTGATTGTATGGGCGGGGAGGTGTAGGTGAGGTTGGTTGGGTAAGGCGGGGAGGTGTAGGTGGGGGTTGGTTGTGTGGGCGGGGAGGTGTAGATGTGGGTTGGTTGGGTGAGCGGGGAGGTGTAGGTGGGGGTTGGTTGAGTAAGGCGGGGAGGTGTAGGTGGGGGTTGGTTGGGTGAGCGGGGAGGTGTATTTGGGGGTTGGTTGTATGGGCGGGGAGGTGTAGGTGGAGGTTGGTTTTGTGGGCGGGGAGGTGTAGGTGGGGGTTGGTTGTGTGGGCGGGGAGGTGTAGGTGGGGGTTGGTTGGGTAAGGCGGGGAGGTGTATTTGGGGGTTGGTTGTATGGGCGGGGAGGTGTAGGTGGAGGTTGGTTGTGTGGGCGGGGAGGTGTAGGTGGGGGTTGGTTGAGTGGGTGTGCGGGGAGGTGTAGGTGGGGGTTGGTTGTGTGGGCGGGGAGGTGTAGGTGGGGGTTAGTTGGGTAAGGCGGGGAGGTGTAGGTGGGGGTTAGTTGGGTAAGGCGGGGAGGTGTAGGTGGGGGTTGGTTGGGTAAGGCGGGGAGGTGTAGGTGAGGTTGGTTGGGTAAGGCGGGGAGGTGTAGGTGAGGTTGGTTGGGTAAGGCGGGGAGGTGTAGGTGGGGGTTGGTTGTGTGGGCAGGGAGTTGTAGGTGGGGGTTGGTTGGGTAAGGCGGGGAGGTGTAGGTGGGGGTTGGTTGGGTAAGGCGGGGAGGTGTAGGTGGGGGTTGGTTGGGTAAGGCGGGGAGGTGTAGGTGGGGGTTGGTTGAGTGGGTGTGCGGGGAGGTGTAGGTGGGGGTTGGTTGGGTAAGGCGGGGAGGTGTAGGTGGGGGTTGGTTGGGTAAGGCGGGGAGGTGTAGGTGGGGGTTGGTTGAGTGGGTGTGCGGGGAGGTGTAGGTGGGGGTTGGTTGGGTAAGGCGGGGAGGTGTAGGTGGGGGTTGGTTGGGTAAGGCGGGGAGGTGTAGGTGGGGGTTGGTTGGGTAAGGCGGGGAGGTGTAGGTGGGGGTTGGTTGGATAAGGCGGGCTAGACAGCGGGTTCGTTGTTGTGTGACATGACTGTTGAGGGTAAGGGGGGGGGGGGGCGCTGGTTGACGGCACATTGGGAGCCAGGCGTAAAAGGCTGTGATGTGTGTGAACTGACTACTGAGGTGTTACTTTTTATAGTGTGTGTGTTAGTGTGCTGTATTTGTCCAGTCGTCTTCTAAAAATTAAATCTAAAATCTGTCACGTAAACTGTGAATTGTCAAATTTAGCTCTGTTTATACAAGTCCAAATAGTTCGTCTATAAACGGCTACTGTCCTTGCTTTGTCCTCTAAGTGCGTCATGTCTTTTGTTTAGGGAGCAAATGGAGCGTGAACTATAGCTATGGTGTGCTTCTGTCAGGCCTAAACTGTGTGTAAATTTGTCTGCTATGTATGTGCTTTTGAAGTTTGTCTCTTGTAATAAAAGAAAATCGGGTTTATGGACTAGGTTTCTGAAGTGTTTTCTTTGTGATGCGTGCTTTGTGTGACCTACTTAGGTCACGTAATGTTTTATTTTGACATTGTATAATACCTTATATGGATTGATGGTGCAACTACCGGGGTTTTTCCACTGTCTTATTAAGGGTGTCTAAAACTAAGAAATTTTCCATCAAGATCTGATTGATTGATTCGGATCAGATGACTACCCCAACCAATGGCTACATGAGTTGAGGATAACCTCCCCTGTGGCCTAAGTCTTTATCTAGATCGCACACACGCGACACGGGGCAGTCTACCTTGATCAAGCCGTCCATTTTGTCTGGCAATAGATTCTGACCATTTGAACGTGAGTGAACTTAAGTCCTGAGTGTGCTATGCTTTCTTAAGTTGTTTTAGTCTTCTAGTATAATATTACTTGTCGCCAAGTGATTCTTGAAGCTATAGCAGTGTTGTGTGGCCTGTGGCTATTTTTATACAGTGTTAAAATCTGTGATAGCATTTTTTCTTACGCTTTGTAAGTTGGGTTTTGTTATTTTCTAAATTAAATATTTTATCTCGTTTAACCTAGTGTTCTGCCACAACTGTGTTCGCTTATTAAAGGTTGTATGCAGATTGGATGAGTGTTAACTTCTATAGTATCACTAGTTTTCCCTAGACATCAAAATCGAGCCCTAGTGTGTTATTGAGTTAGTGTTCATTCATTTAGGCTGTAAGTCATTTGCATATAACCCCAAAAAAAGAATCCGGGGACGTTCACCATCTATCTGGCTGGTAGATAGGTAAACGTTACATTTGTATGTTGAGGGTTATTATTGTGAGGCTATTACTTACGTTGTTTGTTTCATTTAGTTCTGGCTCGCCCTAATTTGCTTGGGGATGCGGGAGGGGGTGTGTGTTTTTTCTTCCTTTTGCTTGATACCTTTACCTTTCCTTTGTAGGGAGGTTCTTCTAGGGGTGGGACCGTAGCACTTCGGATAGGTTGAGTCGTTTTAATGTGATCTGTGTTTTCCTTTTGCTTGTCTTTCTTTTTCCTTTCAGTTAGTTCTTTTTTTGGATAGTATTGTGGTCCAAGATGAGTCTGTTTCGATGTCTTCTCTGGGGGTCTGGGTCGATGTCTTGGTTGCTGTTTGCGGTGTCATCTGATGTATCGGGTCTTGGTGGTTCGATTCTTAGGTAGTGGTTGCCATCCTCGTCGACTTGAATACCATCGCGCTCCCGCACAAACTGGCTTTTACAAGCCGAGGGTCCATGCAGGGTGGTGTTGCACAACCTACAAACTGTCTTTCTACCGTTCAGCTGTAGTAATAGTTGGTGTGTTTCGCCGCCGATTTCTACTTCTAAGTAGTGGGCGAGGTCTTCTGAACAGGCGCTTGGGTAGAAGTCTGCAGCCCACTTGTCTCCTTTCCCCATCTTGAGGGTTGTAACGTTAGTGTCTACTTCGGCCAGTGTTTTAACGATTTGGTTGGCTGTACTATCAGAAATTGTGGGCGGCATCCTTTTTCAATAGCCCCTTTGGGCATTTTCTCTGCCTGGAGTAAAAGCAAGCTTTTGCAGTAATCGGAATGTTCGAGGAGTTCGTACGTATGGAGGGAATTATAAAGCTCGTCGGATTTGAGGGTGATATACCACTCAGTTGGTTTGCCTAGGTTGTATACATTTATAAACAGGCTATGTTGAGCTCATATGAAATTAGACCCTAAAGAATGATCTCGTTGATTTTTCTTTCCGTTTTTCCTCTCAGAATGGCTTTTAGAGTCTTTTTGGGGTGCTTCCTTCCTTCCTTATACGGAAACCGGTTCAGAAGGTTGACTTCCATTAACCAGGCAGGCCTCAGTGTAGCAAACTCCGACCATATGAGTTTCCCACACATCGGTCGCTACTTCCGTCGGCTCTCACCGGGCTTTCCTTCCCCGCCCACCAGACGCGGGACGTGGGGACGTCGTCCTACCGCCTGGTACCCGGCTTGATCGTGGGGGGCGTTCGGTGCTGACCCGGAGCGACCCAAGGGATTGATATTTTGATACAGGCTATTCCTTGTAATATTATTATTTGTTTTATCGTCTTCTTGTCATCCTTTCTTTGAGAAGTTTAAAACTGTACTATTATACGTAATTATCTCAACCTTTTTATTTGGTGTCGGGTGCTACCCTACCCTTCTGAAAGATGGCGTTAAATGCGTGGAATTAATAGTACCGATGTGTATATCTATTATCAGTAATTTACCCAATAGTAATTTACCCAACAGTAATTTACACAACAGTAATTTACACAACAGTAATTTACACAACAGTAATTTACACAACAGTAATTTACACAACAGTAATTTACACAACAGTAATTTACACAACACTAATTTACACAACAGTAATTTACACAACAGTAATTTACACAACAGTAATTTACCCAATAGTAATTTACCCAATTCGAAAGAGGATATTGTTCTTTGTAATAAAAAAAAATTCCGTCCTAGCGTCACTCCAACCTTTGCCCACATACCAGGAGGTGTAAACGCGAAACAATCCGAATGCCCTCCCCTGTTTATCGTTTACTTCGTTCCAAGGCCACACGTGAAGTGGGATGTGTTTCATGTGGATGTACTATTGATTTCTGCAGTTTATGGTGAGATTTAAATAACCCCAAAATGCCGATTCGTTGAAATTTCAAAACAATTCATTATTTCAAAATTATAGACCACAGGTTGTAACTCTGTTTTGTTAGTGATTGTTACCTCCGTTGTATTGTGTAAATCATGGTTACGCCCCGTGAGTGATTTGCGTGTTACAGTGATGTGTATCCATGTGTAATTGTGCAGCAGTTAAGTTTTAAAAAAATCATAAAAAACGTTTTAATAACAACCTTTTATGTAATAATGCACTAAAAAGGAGAAAATAAATTATACACTATTATTTAAATAACTATAAAGAAAAGCGTGGGTCACTTTAGTATCTATTGGATACCTTTACTAATATTTAGGAAGAGACCCACGCTTTTCTTTACAGTAATTTAAATAGTAGTGTATAATTTATTTTCTACTTTTTAGTGCATTATTACATAAAAGCTTGTTATTAAAACGTTTTTTATGAAATTTTTTTAGTACTTTACATGTTTTTATTTACAATAGAGTTACATGACTAAAAACCATTGCGCAGCTATTGAACGTGATAACGCGCTTTGCCATGATGACGCGTGTGGATAGAACTGCCTTCTAATTTGGTCAAAATTTTAATTAATTCATAAATAATTAATCAGGTGACCAATTTAGTTAAATTTCATGTCACGATGCATTTTCTTTATGTCTTGACCCACCTACCAATTACGAACCCTATCTGTCAGTTAGAAGTGTCTGCAATTTCGCTCGGCCCTTTCGATCTAAACAGCTTGACGACTGACGACTGACGAGGAAGTGAGTTAAATAAAAGCTTGAAAAAAATAGAGCCAGAGACACGAGGAGCTGTGTGTTTAAGAATATAAGAATAAAATACTAAGGTTCACTCAGAGAACTGTGTTGGTTAAAGTGTATTACTAACCACTGAGAGATAGCTGTGAATGCTTGCAAACTGCTGAAACTGTAAGTAGACTGAATACTGCACTTTAAAAAATAAAAATAAACTGGTCAAGATAGCTAGAATAAAGAAAGTTTAGGGGAAATTACTACCGGTTTATATTAGCACGATTTTAAGACTTTCTCTATACTTCGTATATAGGCCTACTAGAAAGTAAAAATTGGTGGAAAATCTAGGTAACTTTGACAACGGCGGCCAAATTGAAAAATTGATCCCTTCTTAGGATTTCAACTATTCATAAAATTTTATATTTTAATGCTAATAAACAATGAATAACAATAAAACGGTGGAAACTGTCAAAATTTCATGGGATTTTTGTGCACGATTACAATACTTTCTCTATCCTCTGTATACGAGAAAGTAAAATAGAATTACACACCAAGTGAACGCCAAACAAAATGTACATAATAGTGCGGAATATTATTAGTACTTTATAAATTCACTTGCGTTTTTTGAGAAGTCGGAAATAGCGAAAATTACTACTTTCGGTCAACGGAAATGACTTAAAATTTGACAGAATGCAGATAATTTACTTACTTGTGAAATTTCGTTTATCTATCTAAAATAGTACTCAAGTTAAAGGCTTTTGAAAAATTCAATGTAGAAAAAGTTCCACTTCCGGTTATCGTAAATTACTGAAAATTAATACAAATCTACGATTTTGATATAATACTTATATATAAAATTTCATCAACTTAGCTGTAATGGTACTCAAGATATTGTGTTTACAAACACACACACATAGACAGACACACACACACTTACACAGACAGAGAGACATACGGACACGATTGCAAAACTATGTTTTTCCGAATCAGTGAGCTGTAAAACGTTGAGATTTGCAAAAGTTGGCGGAAAAATCTTGGTAACTTTCACAACGGCGGCCAACTTGAAAAATTGACCCCTTCGTAGGATTTCCACCATTCATAAAATTTTATATTTTAAGCCAATATAAACAATGAATTCATAATCTTCTACCATATTTTGGGGTACTCAGCTAAACATTTAAGTGCATATCTATAAACTAATTTATTATGACTTTTTGAAAATTTGGGTGCTTTTAAAACACAAAATTTTGGGGAATTGTTGGGCATTAAAACTAGAGTTTTTAACGAACCCACAATTTGAAAACTGTTTAAGAGTTACAAATACTCGGTTTGTTTTCTTAAATTGCTTATACTTAATAAAATAATTTGATCTAGCTATGTGCTGTACTTCTGTATCCTCTTCACAGAGCCTCAAAGAACTTCCGTAGTAACACGAGCTACATCCGGACACTTATGATATACTTTAATCCAATATGTCAAATCTAAGTAAGTCAATTTAACTTTAAATCTATCTTATTCATGTTATGTTATATTATTATAACACAGTGGCGTAACGAGGTCGGTTGTCACCCGGTGCGGCAATTAATGGTGTCAACCCCCAGAGGCGCAGCGACCCTTCCCGTGGACACATTTTCGACTTGCACCCCCCCCCCCCCCCCCTCCTCAAACTTTCAATTTGCACCCCCTCAAGTTTATCTCTATATATTTTGCTATTTTTGCGTTGGTGTCACCCCCCCTCCCCCTAAATGGTGTCACCAGGTTAGGTCCTCACCCCCGCCCACCCCCTCGCTATGCCTCTGTTATAACATACACATACACACAGTGTGTGTATGTTTGCTACATAATTCCCAGAGCTGTAATGATGGCATGGTCTAGCAAACTTTCCTTCTCAAAAAAGTCAGCTGGTATGATGTAGACCTACTGGGAAAGTCAAAAACCAAACGTCTAGAGAATTGAAAAAAACAACAAGATGTTATAATTCCTCGATTCCACATTCTGCTGTTTTTCCTTGAGCCTGTGTGTGCGAGAGCAACATTCGTGATGGTAAAATGTGTTTTATTATTATATTTACAGAGGACAAAAATGATTCTGCCGATAGCCATACAAATGTGGTCTCAGAGCAAGACGTTGCACGCTTCTTTACAGGTAATGTCATGTTTTAAAATGTAAAGCTAAGACTTTGTTGTTTTATGTAGAGTTAATATTATAACTTTCAAATATCTGGTGCTATTGTAGGACGTGTATCACTCTATCTTTTGTTATGTACTGCGTGTCTATGTTATAGTGGTATCATTGCTTTAAGATGTTTGTCAAAATTTGGTTCTTGCTAATATAAATGTTTAAAGACAACTAACGTGCACAGTTATTAGAGGATTATATTTCCTATGCAGGTGCGCATGAGGTTCAAGAATGTCTTGAAGGTGAACGTGAGATTGATCTACAAATGCACCTGGTGCACTGTACGAAAAATCCTGGACATGCAGGGTTTATAAGCGTGAAGGCGTTAACCACTGAACATTTCCCTTCTGGTTACCAAGACAACGAATTGTTGGACTTTATTAAAGCTACAGCTGAGTTAACTGTCAGAGTTGCGGTTGAGTTCACCAGTCCAGGCAGGCCAGAGTTTGTACCAGACACTGATGTTCCTTATCCTTGCTGCAAACTTAGGGGAAGTAACAGATTGCATACAGGGACTGGGATGGTGGGGGGTGTAATAAAGTACACAGAGGGAATGAATGACTACAGAACTTGTCCATGTCCTGACTGTGACTCTGACAAACCCTGCAAAGAGTGGTGGGAGGTTAAGGTGTTGACAGCCAGACATGTAGTTTTTGATACGAAAGAGGCGAGAAAGACGAGCTGTAGACTATGGTTTGACGACGATACAAGTCCAGTGGTCAAGATTTATGGGTGGAAGGTGAGTGAGTCAGACACTGGCAAGGACATGTGTTGGTTGCATTGTGTGACTCACGATATAGGGATAGGTACAAAGCTGGAAGAGATGGACATGCGCTTTACTATCCTACTTAAACAAATAAATGATAAGTACATGGGGATTAGAAACAAGGACAATCTTGTCATAATAGTGTCACACCCTCATGGCTGTTCTAAACAAGTTTCTGTGGGTCACTGGGTACACAGAGAGATTGTGGGGCAATGGAAAAGGTTTGCATACAAAACTAGTACCTGTCCTGGTAGCAGCGGGGCTCTAGTGTACAGACTAGGTTGGTGGTCTGGCCCGAACCACAGTGGAGCTAACTCTGAGCTAAACTTCAGTGGGTTGGCTGTGGAATAGAGTGTAAACAGTATTGATTCACGATGGTTGACCTAAAGTAGCTAATCAGAAGTGACTTGCGATACACCGTTTTGTATTTAACCTCGATTTCTTTCTATGCTTATTTGTAGCTAGATTTTGTTTTATGCTTGTGTGTGGTTTTTTTTTTTGTTTTTTTTTTGTATTGAAGGATAATAAAACAATGTAATTTCTTTCTAGTTAATAAACATTCTGCTTAAAATTTTAAGTTTTGTTTTATGAATTATGTTTGTTGTATCTATTTCAATATTGTTTCGTTGAAACGAACAAGCAGACGATTATGTGATCAAATTTATAATCGTCATAAAATCAAGTTGCATATATTACGCTTGTGTCGACAATATTTTGCTCCAGGCTAAACGCCATTTGTAGTTTAGTGTTAGTAGTAAGTTACGTTTTATTTTTTTGAACGTGTTTAAAAACATAATATTTTCTATTGCACTCTGTATTCCAGTGGTGTCGCCCATGTAGGTCTATGCCTGTGACTGCTACACCTATTTTCCGATGACATTGGGAGTATTTTTGGGTCAATGTGCGCTCAGACATAACTAAGACGAAAATAAACTAAGCGAGATTTTATTCTATTTTAAAAACTTTAAGTATTTAAAATGGATTAAAAATCATGTCTACAGCCCGAGTTCCCATCCCCTGTTTTTTTATTTAAGAATATTCGAGAAAGTTTAGGGGAGATCACTCCCGGTTTATTATTTACTTAATCTTTTTAAAATAGAATAGAATCTCGTAGAAAAAGAATTGCACAACAAGTCAACGCCAAATAAAATGTGTATAATACTGCGGAATATTATTAGTACTTTATATATTCACATCCGTTTTTTGAGAAAACGGAAATAGCGTTAATTACTACTCCCGGTCAACGGAAGTTACTCAAAGTTTAAAAGAAGGAAGAGAATTAGATCTTTTACTTATATGTGAAATTTAATTAATCTATCTGAAATAGTATTCAAGTTATAGGCTTTTGAAAAAATTTAAAGTTGAAAAATTTCCACTTCCGTTTATCGGAAATCGCTGAAAAGTTGACACGGTTCTACAAATTTGATAGAATACTTATATATAAAATTTCATCTACCTAGCTGTAACGGTACTCAATTTATCCGTTTATAGACACACACAGACACATACTCACATACAAACACAGACATACGGACAAGATTGCAAAACTATGTTTTTTCCGACTCAGGGAGGTGTAAAACGTCGAGATTTGTAAAAATCTCGATTTTTTTTTAACAATGACAATACTTTCTCTATACTTTGTATACGAGAAAGTAAAAATAAAGTATTGTTTACATACAAGTTTCAATATAATTAAGGCCGCATTATGACAGCTGATCCTAATCTTTGAAAGCCCGCCTGACCACCTCTTTTACTCTCTCTCTCTCTCTCTCTCTCTCTCTCTCTCTCTCTCTCTCTCTCTCTCTCTGTGTATATATATATATATGTATATATATATATATATATATATATATATATATATATATATATATATATATATATATATATATATATATATATATATATATCTCTGTCAGTTTCATTTTTTCTCCGAGATTATGAGTTTAATATCTTGGGCAATATTTGTAGAAAAAAAAGATAATGACATATGTTGAAACAAAATTGCTGGAAATACTGAATGTGCAAACTAAATTTTATTCATAGACCCTAAAAAAAAAGCATATTCGAAAGTAGAAACAGAAAATAATTCAGAAAGGGTTATCTTCCTTTATTTTGAAAAAATAATGGCGTCTTCTACATTCCACATTGGATTTTTTTTTTATTTATCTAACGCTTTATTCTCTTTCCGTAATACCTTTAGTGATGTAGTAATTAGTAGCTGGTATTAAGTTACAACAATAATATTAATTTTTAAGCGGAAACGCTTCACAGATCTGCGAATTCGAGAATATCAAGAAATGAACTATTTATTCAAATTATTAATATACTAGGCATACTGCCTAGCTTCGCTTAGGTTTTTAAATAACATTTGATAATTTGAATACTTAATTATTTAGCGATGGATTGGGTGTGGAGTGCTTTAATTTAAACAGTAATGCTAACTTTTGAAAAAAAATGTTTTTGTTTGTAAATAAAATACCGTTCTCGAAGAAATAATGGAAAGTACGCAATGTATAACTAAAATGGAATTAGAACTATACAGGTTCCATGAACAGTATATCTCATAGTTTATATTACATTGCCTTTTGAAATTTATTTATTTATTTAATCAGGATACATAACTGAATTAACAATTTAATTTTGTACCAAAACTAATGCTATACTTCGTCATTTTCTGTTTCTGTTTAAAATAGTATACAATTATTTGAAAAATAATAATTTTACAAACGTTACCTCCCTTGAAGACTGAACGTATGACGTAAGTCTTTGTTTACTTTTTTTTTACAAACAGTTGCTATGCTTATATAAGAAATTACGGTATATGAACATATTTAACGACTATAATTGCTGTTTCCGATGGGAATACATTTTTTGTTACCCTCCAGGTTTGGTCTACGACGTCATATAATATTAAGGGGATCGTTCGTCAATTTATTTATATATATATATATATATATATATATATATATATATATATATATATATATATATATATATATATATATATATATATATATATATATATATATATATATCTCATATAAGGAGAATTTCACTCACGATCATCTTTTAGCCCCCGTCGAGGGCTTTGAGTCTGACCAAAAGTTTTTCCATACGGCATAGTCATCTATAGTAGTGTATACAAAAACTTAGCATGATGTACAGACGTTAAGTAACCTAAAAATTGTGTTAAAATTTCCCTGTTTTTTGCCATAAAATACAAAGATTATATAGGGAAATACAACTGGACAGTTTTGACCCATTTCCCGATTTTTCCAGGACATGGCGAGTTTTTTGTGACACTCCAAGGCCTTCTTCTACCACCTCACAAAATTTCAAGGGGGGTCGTCGGAGGAAAATTTTTTTCGTAATAGAGCTCATATAAAGAGAATTTCTCTCGCGGTCACTTTTTAGCCCTCGTCGAGGGCTTTGAGTGAAACTGACAGTTTTCCCTAAAGGTCAAGCCATACACCTAAGAGTATGCAAAAAATTAGCCAGATATACTGAGTTTAAGTACCCTAAAGCCTGCGTTGAAATGACCCTCTGTTTTTCCCATAAAATACAATGATTATATAGAGAAATACAACTGGTCAGTTTTGACCCCTTTACGAAGTTTTCCCAGATATGCCGAGTTTTTTGTGACACCCCAAGGCGTTCTCCTACCACCTCACAAAATATCAATGGGGGTCGTCGGAGGAAATTTTTTTTCGTAATAGAGCTCATATAAAGAGAATTTCACTCGTGGTCACTTTTTAGCCCTCGTCGAAAGCTTTGAGTCAAACCGACAGTTTTACCTAAAGGTCAAGCCATAGACCTAAGAGTAAGCAAAAAATTAGCCAGATATACTGAGTTTACGTGCCATAAAGCCTGCGTTGAAATGACCCTCTGTTTTTCCCATAAAATACAAAGATTATATAGGGAAATACAACTGGTCAGTTTTGACCCCTTAACGAAGTTTTCCCAGATATGCCGAGTTTTTTGTGACACTTCAAGGCGTTCTCCTACCACCTCACAAAATTTCAAGGGGGGTCGTCGGAGGAAAAAATTTTTCGTAATAGAGCTCATATAAAGAGAATTTCACTCGCGGTCACTTTTTAGCCCTCGTCGAGCACTTTGAGTGAAACTGACAGGTCTGCCCTTCGGCCAAGCCATTTACCTATAAACATTCCAAAAATTAGCCAGATGTAAAGAGGTTAAGTGCCCTAAAATCGGTTTTGAAATGACCCTCTGTTTTTCCCATAAAATACAAAGATTATATAGGGAAATACGACTGGTCAGTTTTGACCCATTTCCCGATTTTTCCCGGACATGGCGAGTTTTTTGTGACACCCCAAGGCGTTCTCCTACCACCTCACAAAATTTCAAGCGGGGGTCGTCGGAGGAAATTTTTTTTCGTAATATAGCCCATATAAGGTGCCGGTCAGTCGAGGTCAGTTTTGACCCCCTCTCCGTAGTCTTTTCGGCCAACCGTCACCGGCCTTCGTGTTCTATCGCCCGAAGGCACCATCGTGCTAAATTTGACGCGCCTGCGGCGCCGGGAAGTGCCTTATCGGGCACTTGACCACTTTGCTTTATATATATAGATTTAATATTTAGATCTTCTGATAAGGGCTGATGCCAAAAAAAAAAGTTTTATTTTTTTCATCGAGAAAATAGCTTACAAAATTAGTTAAAAACACAACAAAATATACCAATGAACATTGTGTTTTTAATTGAATTATTTAATTAGTGTGCGCATTTACTTCGGTAATTTGTTGAATAATATTTGTATATTTTGGTGTTTTATTTACTTTGTGTTACGGGTACCATACTGTGACAACTATGCTCTTGTGAGTCATAGACGAAATATATGGAGTTTCAGCTACATTGCTATTTGTTTCTCTAGGGTATGTCTCGTTGTTTGATATAAGGCAATTGATAGATAGATCTATATACAATTTTAATGTTATATTTTGTGAATGTACATTTTTAATCAGGTGTGTTTAACTATAACACTTCTTTTATGGGTTAAAAGGAGGTATAATCAAACGATGTAAAATAAAATAAAACAAATCTATTCATTGTATTATTGTTTATTTTAGTTAAAATAATCTTGATTTTTAAAAAGCTAAAAGAAAACAAAAAACAATATAAGGTGAGCATTAGGAAATTAATATATTGAAATATAAAATTATCTAAGTGGTAATTTTATTAATAAATGTATAGTAATGACTGTCAATTTTTACCTAAAAAATCTATATACAACTATTTATGGAATACTTCCCGTATACGCATTTGGCGTTAATATAAGGTAGAATGATCTTCATGAAAATCTTCTAAACTTGGAGGAATAGAAACAATGTTCGCATTTTATTTTGTGTCTACTTATCTGTGTAACAATATAAATTACATCACAGCGAAAAATCGATCGTAATATACAGTATTATATATATACAGTAATATGTGTGTGCCAACATCTTGAAGTGATCTGTAAGTATTTTGTGATATCTTGAAGTCAGTCGTGTTTTGTCTTAACATCTGATTATGGCAATCTTTACACGTTAACTTCAAAAGCAAAGCCGCTGTAGTTTAGCCCACTGGAGTTAGTTCCACTGTGGGGGTGGTTAGTAGTGCCAGCTAGCAACCCTAGTCTGTAGACCATAGCTCCACTGCTTCCTGGGCACGTGCAGTTTGTGTACGTGTACCTGGTGTTTTTGTGGTCTGACTTGTCCTTGTGCACCCAGTGACCTACAGAGACCTGCTTAGCGAACCCATGAGGATGTGAAACTATAATGGTCAGCTTGTCAGCATCTTTACGACTCTTGTATTTCATACAGATTTCTGTACATAAGTTCATAAAACCCCAAACCATACCCGATAGTTTCTCCCCGACATCTATGTCGTGTGTTACACAAAAGAACATACTAATATCTCTCTGGAATCCGAATGAATTTAACTTCCACCCAATGATGTTGACCACTGGGCATTTCTCCTCATCAAACCACAGTCTACACTTGGACGTACACGCCTCGCTATCGTCATACACTACATGTTTGGCAGTCAGAACCAAAACCTGGAACCACACTTTGCTAGGGATTCCAGACAATTCACATTCAGGACATGGACAAGGCGTGTAAGGGAAAAACTGCATTCCCTCTGCGTACTTCCGTACTTCCATCACCCTCCCAGTCCCTGTCCTCTGTGAGTTCTTCCCCCTCATGTCATACCCTGGGTACTGGTCTTTCGTCCCTTGTATAAACTCTGGTCTCTCTAAACTGGTAAACTTTACAGCTATCCTGACCGTCACATTGACCAACGCTTTGGTCAGATTGAATATGTCCTCATCACGGAATTCTAAAGGAAGGTGTTCAGGTTTAAACAGATTCACAGGTATGAACCCAGTATGGTCGGGGTTTTTCTTGCATGTTTTCATGTTCTCGTGTAAATTAAATTCACCCTCACCTTCAAGACAATGTAGTACCTCATGAGTACCTGTACATGTGATTAAAATTGTTATATAAAATGTATATACATAATGTATTCAGCGTAACTGTCAGTTCAAAAAGTAATATTACTTCCAACTTATAAAAAGCAGATACTATGAGTCTAATTAATATAAAAGGCAAATGTATATATATATATATATATATATATATATATATATATATATATATATATATATATATATATATATATATATATATATATATATATATAACCAAATTAACAGCAGTTAATCCATGCCACATTAGTTTAGTTGGCTTGGATTTGTGAAATATATCTTTTCTTGCTTAAATTATTTGAATATGACTTTGACTGAATGCATCAATTTGATTAGGCAACAATTACTGCCAATTACTGACAATGTGTACAGTGGCTTACCAGTAAAAAACCTGGACATATCGTCATCGGGCAAATGTTCGTCCAAACTAGACATCTTTCTTTTTTCTATCACAATTAGAAATAACATAAATAACATACATTTCACATGGAGAAATAGTATACTACTAGTAGTAGTTCAGGAAAAATATAGTAAGTAATAACGTACTACCTTAATTTATTCTACTGGATCAGTTACAGCATTGAGGTTTAGAGATTTTAAAGTCCGTCTAATATCAAAGCGTCTTAAATAGTTAAAAATGTTTTATATTGTGTTTCTATAAAACTCCATCACACTATAGTCTTCATATTAACACTTTTTATCGTATAAATAAAACAATTTTGATGGAATACTTCACACGATATTTAATCCACGAAATGTTATAATCAGTACTTACATTATAAGAAATTGTTAGTTCGTAGTTTATAATAAGTTAATATGAAGTTAATTATAATAATACACCTAAAATAATTTGAAAAAATTAACAGCAATATATTAAGATATTTTTAGAATGTTTTCTTGGATTCCTCCTATGTGTTATTTATAAGACAGGTTTGTACTTGCTATAAAATAGACAATGTAAAAATAAAATGTGGGTTACTTATTTCTTGATATGTCTAGACCTAAGAACTGTAACTGATTAATCAAATACGCAATAATAAATATTTTAATATACAGGGTATGTACCTATTAGTAGTGTATTTGTAAAACAAAAAGCAGAATCATTAGCTTTATTTTCTGATGTTCAATTGTTATAAGGCCTCTGCCAAGGCTTTGGTGTGTTTTTCAATGAGCTATATTATATTATAGGGAATTCCCGTCAACAATATGTGTGCAGTTCATCTGATGGAACATACCTTACAATTATATTTATAGTAATTCAAATGTATTTAAACATATTTAAACAAATAATATCATTATAAAATTTTCGACGGATAATAATATTTTAAAAACGATTTAAACATAAAACAATTCAAGTTTTAGAAAAAAAAAATATTTCGGAAGTTACCGTAGTTATGTGGACAAGCCTACATTAATATAAAATCTGAAGTTAAAAACTATCTTACCTATTTCAATAAATGCATATACATGTATATAATTACATTAAGTATAACAAAAGTATATTGCTTTTTATGTTTACAATACTCATTCAAACATAAAATAACTTACATTCAATTATTTCCTGAATGTCGAGATGTCATTTAAGAAATCACTCAAATGGGAACTACATTTTAAAGACAGTTTTAGTAACTGAACCATTTATTAATACGAAAAAATGCGATTTTAGTACAATTATAATAAAAGACTATGACAGTATTTTTTTATAAAGTCAAATTTTATTAACATAATACACTTTAGTACTGGCTATATTTAACAAAGTGAAACATAACTTATTGACAGCTTTACCTGAGATCTATGTAGAAATACTATTAATTTTAATAATAGGTGTATTAATTTAAAATAAAGTGATAGCGTAGCTAGAATAAAAATCGTAAAGCCTTGTTTAGAGCACTGAACACGTGCATATTTTTATTTAATCATCTTAAATCTTAGTGATTAATGAATTTGTTTACATTTACAGTTCATATTTTAAAAAAACGTATCTTTATACTGCCAAAAATTCAACAAAATGAAGAATATTTTAATTAAAACAACAATTTCATAGAAATATTTATTTAAAGTTTTAATTATCTTTACCGCTGTTATTTTAATAATGTTAGAAAAATATAAGAAAACCAAACAAATTTGTAGTTTAGTCAAGATGTTGGCTGTCCCTAGACCTTAAACTATGACGGGGGGGGGGGGGGGGGGGGGGTAGGTCACACTGAGCGGGGGATAATTGACGGCGGGGTAATTACTCCGGGGAAGACCGTAGCCTACTTTTCTTTTTACTTTCTCGTATATACGAAGTATAGAGAGAGTCTTGTAATCATGCCAAAAAAAATCGAGATATTTGGAAATCTCGACGTTTTACACCTCCCTGATTCTGAAAAACATAGTTTTGCAATCTTGTCCGTATGACTCTGTGTGTGTGTGTTTGTGTGTGTGTGTGTGTGTGTGTGAGTGTGTGTGTTTGTGTCTAAACACGATAACGTGAGTACCGTTAAAGCTAGTTTGATGACATTTCATATATAAGTATTTTATCAAACTCGTAGATCCGTAACAACATTTGAGCGATTTCCGATAACTGGAAGTGGAACTTTTTTACTTTCATTTTTTCAAAAGCCTACAACTTGAGTACTTTTTCAGATAGATAAATGAAATTTCATATGTAATTAAAAGATTTAATTACCTGCCTTCTGTCAAATTTTAAGTAATTTCCGTTGACCGGAAGTAGTAATTTCCACTATTTCCGATTTCTCAAAAAAAAAACACATGTAAATTTATGAAGTACTTATAATATACCGCACTATTATACACATTTTGTTTTGCGTTCACTTGGTGTGCAATGCTTTTTTCTACGAGATTCTTGTTACCAGCCAAGGGGGATAAAAAATTAAGTTATAATTTATTGGTTTGCCGCCCACATGGGGCCGCAACTGTTGATGTCGTTTTTTTCATGTTCTTCGGTGAGCGAATTTTACCCGTGTTCCATGTCATGTGACATGGGATTATGGGTAGTTTGTTCCTGTGGCCGTGTCATTCAGACCCAAGGCTGCTGTGGACACGGACGGTGTCGTTGTCTGTGATGTGTTGATCATGTAGACCTAATGAAGGGCTACTGCTTTTCTACGTTTCTACTGTCTACATAGCCGGTTGGCTTGGATGTTAATGTCTATAAATCCAGTATCTGACAACAGCGTCGTTCCATTGTGTGCTATATCTCAGGGTCAGCCCTTTTAAACACAACACCCCAGTGGGTAATAAGCATTCCCATAGAGTGAGTGTTACATTTTGGCATCCAACGTGGGGCTCGACCTTGAGTGGTAGGCATGGACAACAGCAATCCGATGTTCGAGAAGTTGTCGCAGGAGTTGGTCGAGCTGACGGTCATGATGGCGGAGCTACAAGACGCAAGTGCGCAGGGGCCCGTGACGGTGAAGGTATGTGCTCCAGTACACAGCGATCTGGACGAGTTCACCGGCCTTCTACCCACGGGAGGATTCGCAGGGGAAGCCAGACCGAAGATGGAGGACGCCCTGGAAACTGCTAATAGGCTGGAGGCGACATCTGAATCCCCAGTTGTAGCCACTTTAGCAGCTAACAGGAATGTCCAGGTCGATGCAGTAATGGCAGCTGTTCGCCAGGAGACGACGCCGCTGATGAGCAAGTTGAGCGTCTGGCGGAGAAGGTGGCAGATATCCTAGCCCGGAAACAACGGCCTTCCAGAGGAGCTTGTTACGGGTGCGGCTCTAGGGAGCACTTTGTCCGCAACTGCCCAAAGAAAGCTGACAGGCAATGGAGTCAGCAGCAGGGCAAATGCCAGCCTATCAGCGTCGGGGAGCGGATGCTGATGCGTGGTCTGCCAAGCTCCCAGCACAAGTTTACGCCACCGAGATCAGTACAGTGTCGAGCAACCACAGCTCAGGTTACCTCGCCTAGCGGCTGGAGGTACGGCTATCGGGTGTTCCGCCGAGGAGGAGGGTTGCAGCCGGAAGGTGCGCGTGAGGAGGGTAGACAGCCACACCATGAATGTCAGCTTCAGCGCGAGCAAGTTCATCGCTTGGGAGACAGACACAAGCAGAGGTCGGAGACGCCACCGGAGGAGAGGTCGACGGCGTAGAGGACGCCGCCGTGGTTGGCAGAGAACCGACTATACAATGTAAACCAGATAAACATAAAAAAACATCCGCTCTAATTTATTTCAGTTCTATTTCAGACTATCGCTCCGCTGGAACCTGAGCATGTGTCGGTAGTGTACGTATAACTTGTTGCTTTGCCCATTAACTGTTGATGTACCTGCCTGTGTACCCAGTGACCTATAGTGACCTGCTTAGAACAGCCATGAGGATGGGACACTATAATGGCCAGCTTATCTACATCTCTACGACTTTTGTATCTATCTGTTAATTTCCTTCATAGACCCTTTTCCAGCAATAACATCTTCTGCAGTTTGTCAGCCACATCTACATCATGTGTCGCACAAGACAACTCACATACGCCATTAGGTGTATGGAAACCAGTCACCTTCACTCCATAAATGTAGACCACCGGACTTTTATCACAACCAAACCATAAACTATAGGGCTGGTAAGTAGGTCACCAACCAGTTCTACGGCTCAATAAAACCTGCATGAGCCATAGAACTGTTTGGTGACCTACTTACCAGCCCTACAGTTGGACTGTCTCGCCTACTGTCATAAAAAAACCACATGTGATGCTTTTATAACCACAACTTCCCACCAGATTGTACTGGGCGTATTGGGGTGATTACATTCAGGACATGGATAGTTCTTTAGCCGTCCATTCCCTCTGTGTACCTGATCATATGACGCATCTTCCCAGTCCCTGTACTCATTATCCTATTTACTCTGCATTGGTAGCAAGGATATGGATCGACAGTGTCTTGTATAAACTTTGACTTGTATAGACTTATAAATCTAACGACTATCCAAACCGTTACGTCAGCAACAGCTTTTGTGAATTTAGTATATTCTTATCACGGTAATCAAGAGTAAAATTGTCTAACGATAACGTATTTACGAGTACAAATCTAACATGATCAGGATTTTTTCTACAGCTTTTGAAGTGTGTATTTAACGTAAAAAACGTGGGTACGTTCACCATCAAATTTCCAAAATTCGTGTGTTGTGTGCTTTTCGCTTTAATCATAAATCTGCCCGACCCACGTTTTTTGTCATCAAATGTATGAACAGTCATCACAAGAACCTGCACAGCTCGAGGAAGCACAAAATCTACGAGCAGTCATTGGTAGATCCCCTAGGGTCGGAAGAAAAATTTATTTTCTACTTTTTAGTCCACAAGAAAAACGTGGTTTTTTAAAAAGTTTTTTTTTAAGTATTTTATTTTCTCCTTTTTAGTCCGTTGCTACACATGAAAAACGTGGTTTTTAAAAAGTTTTTTATATAGTTTATTTTCTACTTTATCTAATGACTTGATTAAGTATGACTTGACTAAGCGTTTTTAAATACACGGACTAAAAATCTTGAGCGACCGATACGCTTTAAACAGAGAAGGGGCGTAATTTAATTAAGCTAATTTAGGTCTCTAATTGCTAGTTTTTTATGATTGCATCTGAAATTGTTATGTGAGCTTGGCAGTGCGAGACCCACAGCAGCCTACATGCCGTGACCAGGATTCGAACCTGGGTTGTCGCGGCCACAACGCGAAGTACTAACCACTATTTGATCACGGCCAGCGCGCTCACATCGATTGGGGCCGAAGTAACTGTGTCAATAGGCCTCCAGTCTTGTCGGTATCTTTAGAAATCATGTCCTCAATTTTAGGGTCCTTGGGGCGTAATTTAATTAAGCTAATTTAGGTCTCTAATTGCTAGTTTTTATGATTACATCTGAAATTGTTAGGCGAAAATAGCCTGCATGCCGAATTTCAGATGTCTAGAGCAATCAGAAGTGGGCTAATTTTCGTTGTCAATTTTAACAACAAACCCACAAACGCGAAGCTGAGTTAAGAAAAACGTGTTAAAAATAACCATTTTACAATGTAAACTTTTCATTGGCTATCATCATAAGAAAAAACCCATCATGAAACAATTATGAATATATTGGTTAAAGATAAGGACAACATCACAATAACATAAATGAGTAGGGAAAGTATTGAGTGAAATTACTTTTTATTGAGACTTATTTTATAATCTACAGTGAAGAAAGGAAATAAAATATAATACATTTATAATATATCGATTGGTCTTCTTGGCGTGCTATGTTATTAAGGTCAGCTGAAATATATGTTACGAGCCGACCCGCGGCGTATCATACGCCGCTATTTAGATGTTGTTTTTTCTACTTTTCAGTTATTCATAATTTGTGAATTCGACACTACCAACGCTGCCATTAAAAATATTTCTTTAAAGCACTATAAGGAGCTCGTTAAGGACGATAACCCCCCTCCTTCCCCCCCCCCCCCCCCCCTCCGTTAAAGTAAACTCCACTTAGTTACCCCCCCCCCCCCACGTTTAAAATCGTTTCAAACTAAATTATCTGCCCCTAATAGTCGTCACTAAACCCGGCTCTGTTTGTAAACATTTAGAGTGAACCACAGCTCACCAGACCATGTAGGGTTGGGGGTGGTAGTGAGCGCGTTTACAGCTTGTTTTCTAGCGTCCCCCAGAAGAGAATTATATATAGAGATTACTCAAAAACAAAATAACCTGAATGATTTCACATACGCATTGCGTTGTATTTTTTAAATTAAAATTTTATTTTTAAATTATACATTGATTACTATGTAAAATCTTAGGGTTATTTCTTTCGTTTATATATCTTGATTTTTTTCTGAAATCTATTTTTGCTGCCTCTTAATTATTAGCGTGAAATAACCTATTACAACAGCCATGGCTAAAGGGGGGAAAATGTGTGTCTTTGAGTATTTGTATTTTATTTGTTTCGTTGCGTCTTTTATTGTAAGGCTTAGGGATTGTGTTAACTTAGATTACATTAGACAATGATTATTATTGTCAGATAAGCTAATACAAAGGAATAATTTTTAAAATTGCGTAAATAGTTAAAATCGTTTTCAGGTTTAGATCATAGCCAGAAGTCTCAGCATTATTTTAGATTCAGTATATATTTGTAAAATATACCTATAATTTAAAGCATTTTAGATAGTTTAAAGGCTTTTAGAAATGACAAAATAATATAAAACGCTCTTACTAGAATAAAAATGACGAGCATACTAGTTTTTACAAACCATATTCTTATTAACATTAATTATTTTTCGTTAAACACATTTATGTTGATCATGTGTGTTATAGTTTTTATTAGGTGTCGTATATTTATCCTAAAATTTGTTTCGATATGTATGTCATTATTATTTCTTACTATCAAATCAGGAAAGTTAATAACTAACGTTATTCGTTTTCCATAACAAAAAAAATTAAGGAACGATGTCTATGGCTGATAGACTACCACTCGGTATACCTATATATATAATGTTTATATTCACTGATATTGTATAAGCCGACTGTTTTCCTATAGGTTACTAAGTATAATTGTTAGTATAATGATGCTAGTAGGCGGTAATCATCTTAATGTGCAATAATGTCGATCTTAATTAGAGTTATAAGCTACTGCTTCCGTTACTGAGCATGTTTTTATCAGCAGTTATAGATTAGTGAACGAATCTAAAAGCCAATCTTATACATAGTCTTTTGAATTGTTTAAAACAAACGTAGGCGCCATAGCGCTCACGGGATAGCCCGGGTCGCCAATATGCACCCTGCCTGGGCACCGGCGAACTCGCCTGATTAAATTTAGTGAATGACTATAACGTCACATCTAATCTTCTCACTGTTTAAAACGAACGTAGGCGCCATAGCGCCCACGGAAAAGACCTGGGTGCCAAATTGCACCCTGCCGAGGACCGCCCGTGCAAAATTATTTTTTTTTCAACCAGAAACTTTCTCGGGAATAATCTCTTCAATTTCCTAAAATTACATGGCACTCGGATAAACGGTGTCAAAACGCATCCGACTTTAATTTTGTATATACCTTATAAAGAGAAAAATCCTACCCTCCCGGGGCGCCCACTTGCTAATTTGAATTTTTGTTTTTACAGAAACCTCATCTAGAGTGTTCTATTCAACTCCATAAAGTTTGATGGCGATCGAATGAACGGCGTCAAGCTGCAATCGACTTTTTTTTACCTTATATAGAGAAAAAAAATCGCGACCTGCCGGGGCACTACACCAGGGAATTTGCTTTTTTTCCCCCACAGAAACCTCCCCAGGAGTATTCTCATTCACTTCCCAAAGTTTATGACGATTGTGTGAAAGGTTTAGTAATGCTTAAAAGACACACACATAGATTGCTTTATATCCAAATATATAATAGCCTTGGTTCGGACTTCTCTCTCTCCCTCTCTCTCTCCCCCTCTCTCTCTCTCTGTCTGTCCGCAAAATATTTTCGCCGGATATCACCTCAGAATCTACAGCGATATATCGAGAACTTGATACGGAATTTTGTTGAAAATAATATAGTAGATGTTTTAAATGTATAGCCACAATTTTTTTTAAGAAGAAAAATAAAAAATAAAGGCATATTCGAATGTAGAAAAACAGTTTTAATTATGCAACAGGAAAAGCATTTATATTTGTGAAAATGAACGCATAAAACTGTGACGTCACTAATGTTTATACATTAACTAATGACGTCATCTGCCGTGTTTAGAATAAAATAAAAAGAACTATTTCATTCAAATTTGATTTAGATCTACGTATACTATGAAATGTATACAATACATTTTTTCCGGCGTAAACTTATAAAATTTATTTTATCTATTTGGATTCTAGATCTAGAGATTCTAGATCTAGCTAGACTAGATCTAAATCTACGCAAAAACTAGACGTAGACGCTAATAAGTCGCTAAGATCTAGATTTAGACTCTATCTACTCTAGAATCTATTCCAAAAATAAATTTCTATATTAGGCCTAAAATATTTCAAGACTTAATTATTTTATACAAAATCTTTATTTGGAACTGGCTAATTTGAGATAAAAAAAATTATTTGAAAGAATAGGCATATTCGCGTAATTTTAAGTTTTTTTAAAATAAGTCTTTCATTCTCCGAGTTTGAAAAGGTGCCTAAATAGCAGAGATGATAGTGGACTTAAGTCTACGCAGGTGGTGCGGGATCGAGACACACCTAGTCAAACTTGGTTTTTTTATTTTTTTATATGTGAATCTTCCGATTTTAGACTAACGAAAGGAACTACTTCATTCAAATTTGATTTAGATCTAAATCTATAGATCTACACATCAAGACGTACGCTATGAAATATATACAATTTTATCGGTAAAACTAATACAAATTACTTAAAAAAAGATAATGACAATTGAATAGCCAGATTTTTAACGGAATCATATAAGTCACTTAGTCAGTGTGTGCCTATGTTGTTAAATGTGTCGGATTTTTAGCTAATTAGTTATTTCTTTGCTTTGTCACAAATATTGTTCAGCGTATAGTAAAGCACATTGCGTTTTGACCAATAACTATTTCATGAATTATTTTTCTCAAACAAGTACATTTTAAAATATATAGGCCTATAATTCACGTGAAACGGGTACCGATGGCTAGTATAATGGATGAGCATCATTACTAAACAATAATTGATAACTAGAATTCACCCTGATTATCATTTATTTGCATGACGTGTATTTCATAATAAGTAATTGTATACAACTGAGAGAGAAAACAAATTAAATTAGAATAACACGTATTATCGAGAAAAGAAACAAAAATATAGAAACAAAAATAAACCATATATGAAAAAAAAAATATTGATTCAATCCCCTGTAATTATTATGCATTAATCTATTCCGATAAGCTACTATCTTAGTTATCCTACATGTGCAAGTCCCACACCCCAGAAGCACTATAATTTAATCCACTATTGTTAACTCCACTGTGGGGATGAGCAGGCCAGTCATACCCCAGTCTGTAGACAGAAGCTCCACTGCTACCTTGACAGGTGCATGTATCGTAAAAGTATCTTGTTTGTGTCCCCATCTCATGGTTGAATACGTCTCTGTGTACCCAACTACCAACAGAGACCTGCTTCGAACAGCCATGGGGATGTGACACTATAATAGTCAGTTTGTCCTTATCTCTAACACTCTTGTACTTATCAGTTACTGTCTGATATAGAATTTTGACCTGCCTCAACATCTCTTCTAGCTTGTCACCTATTTCTGAGTCATGTGTTGCACAATACAACTCACTAACGTCTCCTTTAGTATGTGAACCACCCAACTTCCACCCCAATATTATAAATAACTTACTACCTTCTTCATCAAACCATAATCTACAGCTTGAACTACTAGCTGTTTTCGTATCAAAAACCAGATGAGTGGCTGTTAATACATGAACTCTCCACCATACTTTGTTGGGTGTAGCTGAAGTAACACAAGCAGGACATGGACAAGTGTTGCGGCATTTATCCCCCTCATCGAATTTTTTTATCTGCCCCACAATCCCAGTTCCTGTTGTTTTGGTGGATCCAACATGTATCCTAACCGTCAGGTCGGCTATTCCTTTTGTTAAGACTAAAAGGTCTTCGTCTTGGTAACCCACTGGAAAATGTTCCGCTGTTAACTCATTTATCGGTACTAAACTTGTATGGCCAGGATTTTTTGCACAGTTCTTTTGGTCGTTCTGTAAATTTATCTCCTCGTTTTCATTATGTTCTTCGTATACTTCGTGTATTCCTTTAGAGGTAAAGAAACAGATAATATATTAAAACTTGCTACCAAACATGACTAATTTCTGAAAAAAAATAGATACCCATGCAGGAGAAAAGATGTATTAAGCTATTTATACTTAATATCCTAAGCAACATTACAACCTGAACGGAATTAAGAAAGTATTTTGATATTTATGACACTAAGACCACCAAAAAAGTTGAAAAAATTCACTTTACCTGTGGAATATTTTTGTTCTTTATTTTCACTAGACATGATGTAGCGAACGTCTTAACAGTAACAACGTTTTACTGCATTGAAACAACATAATGAATGAACTCATCATTTAAATAAAAAATGAACACAATCAATGTAACTATTGCTTTCAAGATAAATGTAATAATTAATGTACAAACACACACTCACACACACTCACACACACATACATTCGTGTCAGTGTGTGATGTACATTTGGAAAAAATTTTAAACCAGTAAACTTGATTTTTTATAATTCAAATGCTATTGATACTTTCTTTATTTTGAGCTAAGCGTGCATATCATTACTAACAATACTTTTTAGAAATAAATTATTGTTATTTCTTTTATGAACAGTATAAGCCGTTTACTAGGTATAATGGGGGAACTTAGGTGACGCGTAGGCCTACCCACTAAGAAAAAAAAATAACTAGAAAGAAAAATTTAATTCAGAAGAAGTTTATTTTTGCTTTAGTGCAAATTTTAATTTAAAAAGATAATTATTTCAAAAAATTAATATTTAAGGATACGTAGCATGGACACTTAACGCAGACCTCCACATGAGAATTTAAGTATTGGAAACAAGATAACTTAACGAATTAACAGGCTTGTGAAAGGATCACTTATTCGATTGGTCCTTTTGAGAGTCTACGGAACATGACCAAAAAAATAAAGTAAAATTGGTATGGGCATGTCACACGGGACACAGGCCTATCAAATAAAGCAGGGGTGATTTCCCCTAAGCTTTCTCGAATAATCTGATATAACACTAGGGGATATTTCCACGCTCTATATGGCCTATTTAATGGTCTATCTCTTGTGTTGAACTACACAACATTCTAGCCATGAACGATCTCAACACATTCTTTCTTCTGATCAGTTGACTACTTCCCTATACACCCCGCTTGCTGATCATAATCACGCCTACATAACTTCTGAAAAAAATCAATACTCTGGTACAGGTAAAAATCAATCAGCTCTAGGCTTTAATGTTTACTGCAACAAGCTAGACAGAATACAGGTAGGCATGAGACACTAGGCCTGCATCAGGCGACAAGTAGGCCTGTAGCGATACACGGCATTGTAGGAAGTGTTCTGTTAACAGAAGAGTCCATGCAAATAGCTACCCGTTTTCTCAAAGTGGAAGAAGAGGGGGGGGGGGGGGGGGTAGAAGGCAGTAGTGTCCACCCCCATCCCTGTACACCATAGAAAATAAAGCGGGAGTGATCACCGCTAAACGTTTTCGAATATTCTTATATAACACACTAATGGCAACTTGGGATATAGATATGATTTTTAATCAATTTTTAAACACTTTAACTTTCTAAAGTCGAATAGAATCTCGTAGGAAAAGGACTGGCGCACCAAATGAACGCCAAACAATGTGTGTATAGTAGTACGTAATATCATTTTTTATAAATTCATATTGTTTTTTGGAGACATTGAAAGTAGCGTATATTACTACTTTCGGTCAACGGAATTTACTCAAACTTTTAAAGAAGGAAGAATATAGATCTTTTGCATTTTTGTGAAATTTCGTTTGTCTAAGTGAAACACTACTTAATTTAGAGACTTTTGGAAAACCAAAAGTAGAGTAAGTTCCACTTCCGTATATTGGAAATCGCTGAAAAGTTGAAGCAGAACTACAGATTTGATTTAATACTTATATGTGAAATCATCATCCTAGCAGTAACGGCACTCAAGTTATTGTGTTCACAGACCTACTCACATAACACACACACACACACACAGAGACATTCGAACAAGATTGCAAAAACTAAGTTTTTCCGACTCAGGGAAACGTAGAGATTTGTGAAAATCTCGATTTCGATTTGTATCAAGATTACAATACTTCTCTATATTTCTTATACGAGAAAGCAAAAACAATAATACAGTAAGTTAAAAGTGAACGCAAACACGTCACTGGATGGAGGCAGAGTTTCTTCCAGGCATCTCGTCGGGGGAGATGGACCCCCCCCCCGAAAATTTTTACCGCCCCCCCCCCCGAAGAAAGTCTACCCCCACCCCCCGAAAATTTCTAGTGCCCCCCCCCCCCGGAAAAAAAGTCTGGAAGAAACACTGGATGGAGGGCATCAAAGATTGGACTCGGCTGCGATTTACATAACTACTCAGAGTCATAACATTAGAAAAAATCAACTGATGTGTCCCTTCAATCAAAACATGTGTAAGGGGCGATGGATTGTTTGACTTAAATTCACAAGAATGTAAACAAAAATGGTCACAAGATGGTCCTAATTACCATCAAATAATACAACTGGTGAGTCCAATAGTTGCTAAATGGAAAACAAATTTGCTTTATACTGATAGTGTTCTATGTAATCAAGCAATAAGCAATTTATTCTACTGTCCTATAAATTCAATTCAATGACATCGTTCACATACACAAGAATCTTTAGAAACATTTTTTCAGCCGATGAGCATGCGATATGAACCATAACACTAAAAATAAAACATATTATCATTTCTTCTCTAGGATTTTTATCCCACATAAAGCAGTGCCAGAGCTGTCATTTTCTCTCTTTAGACCTGAATATGTCATGTGACTGCTTTGTTTTGTAGACTTACACTGAATTCTCTTGTCACTTTTCATCGTTCGATTATTTAGTATGCTTAAAGTTTTCTCAACGCGAGTATTTGTTGTTCTTTTTTCCCCCCTAAAATGACGTTTTTAAAGGGCCGAATGTTAATAACTATTTCCTTAGGAACAAAAAAACAACTGACTTATCATTTCCGTTGTAATCTTGTTTATTCTATTACGCCATATTGTTTATTGTTAATTGTTTATCGTGTTTCTGCCAACTTTTACCGGTCCGGATAAGAGAAATGAGGGTAGTACGAATAGCATACAAGTTAGTATTAGTAATTCCCAACGTTTAATACGTATGTCTAATGGAAAAAAAAAGATAAAGTTTAACATTTTTTTCTAGTCTTACTAAATATTTGATGATATAATTATCGTAAAAAGTTATTTGTATCCTTACTTTAATTTTAAAATTAAATTTTTAATAACGTCATTAAATGCATACTCTAAACAAAATAGTGATGTTTTACCATTTGAGTTTTGCTTGTATTTAACAAACTTATTTTCTTACTTCTATCCGTAATTTTCACCCACACCTTGGCTTATAGCTAAAACGTGTGTAAGTACATTAACTTCTTACCGTTAACAATTCGAGCACTATAGCGAGTACTAAATTACTAAAGCTGTTTGAAATCAATAAACTCCCAAACTTTAGCTAGAAAATCTACATAAATGAGCGTCTGTTGGATAAACCCGTTATGACCAAAGACTAATTTTAAAAATCCCCGATGTTGTTTTTTACAATCGGTTACAGCCATTTTTGCAAAAACATTTCAGAATTTTTATTATAAAAAATACAGTACGAGTTTGATAAGTTAGTTTTAGCTCAAACAAAGTGTTTTTGTACCTATGCTAAAGCAAAATTATTCTACTTTCTTTTAATCTAGCCTTAAAACTATATAATGGTACAACACACTTTTGTAATTCAACAGTAACGCACTAAATGGAAGTAAATGCACATTCAATCATTTTTTACTTTCTTTCTCGTATACGAAGTATAGAGAAAGTATTGTAATCGTGCAAAAAAAAATCGAGGTTTTTGCAAATCTCGACGTTTTACACCTCCCTGAGTCGGAAAAACATAGTTTTGCAATTTTGTCCGTATGTCTGTGTGTGTGTGTGTGTTTGCGTCTGTCAACACTATAACTTGAGTATCGTTACAGCTAGGGTGATGAAATTTCATATATAAGTATATCTGTATCAACTTTTTAGCAATTTCCGATATTTTTTCTACTTTCAAGGTTTTAAAAGCCTATAATTTGAATACTATTTGAGATAAATAAATTAAATTTTACATTTACAAAAACAAAATCTAATTCTCTGCATTCTCTCAAATTTTGAGTAATTTCCTTTGACCAGAAGTAGTAATTTATGCTATTTCCCATTTCTCAAAAAAAAAACACGTGTGAATTTATAAAGTACTAATAATATTTAGTACTATTATTACTATTATACACATTTTGTTTGGCGTTCACATGGTGCGCTATTCTTTTTTCTACGAGATTCTATTGTGATGTATTTGTTTATATAAAGTGTGTGTGAGAGTGGCCTCCCCTTGTAAGTGGTGTGCCAGCGAGAAAAAGACGTGTGTAAGCAGTGTGTGATATGGTCAGCAGAGCGTAACCTGAGTTTGTCTTAAGAAGTAGGAGTGTTTTGGAGTTGAAGGTTATCTGTGTTTCTCGGTTGTACTTGAAAGATTATATTTTATTGTGATAAATGAACGTTGGACTCTGTTTTTAATTGTGTTATGGCTAGTTCCCAACAGAAAGACGTCAACTGAGCATAACAAGTGAGGGCTTAAGTCCGGGATGTGAAACAACAAGATTTTTGACAAGTTTTTACCCCTAGACAAAAAGGAAAATTTCGAGTATCAACAGCAGCGTCACAACCGACTAGAAACTTTCTAGTATTAACGGCATCGTTACAGCCGACTAGAAAACATCTAATATTAACGGCATCGTTACAGCCGACTGGAAAGTGTCTAGTATCAACGGCAGCGTCACAACCGACTGGAAAATTTCTAGTATCAACGGCAGTGTCACAACCGACGGGAAAATTTCTAGTATTAACGGCATCGTTACAGCCGACTAGAAAAAATCTAGTATTAACGGCAGCAGTCATCGCCGACCGGAAAAGACTTAGTATCAACAGCCACAAAACTTGTGAACAGTGCTGCAGACATCATGGCCATAAATAATGAAGTTAAAAATACAGTGATAAAGCTAGGAGAGAAGTTGAGAGAACTTGCTAGCTACAAAGTTGACTACATTAGCATATCAAGTAAGTTATCAAATTTTAGAGCTACAATATTAGCATCTCAGTCCTTGAGCACATCAGAAGCAAATCATTGCGTCGCCACCAACATGAAAGCTCTAGCTACTGTCCCACTTGCAGAAGACCTAGTCAACCAGACACGCAATCTAGGCAACAAGTCAACAGAGTGGAGAACTAGGTCAAGGGCAGCTGAGCAGAAGGTAACTTTAATCCAGTATCAAGTTCATAGTCTTTTCAAAGATACTAATGAGACTTTAATCATAGTTAAAGACTGTGATGTCAAAATAGCAGGATCGGAACAAAAATGATTGGACTCCAGAGCCAGAGCTGAGCAGAAGAGCCAGAGCCAACATCAGTGCCAGAGCCCGTGCCAGAGCCAGTGCCAGAGCCAAAGTCAGAGCCAGAGCCCGTGCCAGAGCCCGTGCCAGAGCCAAAACCAGAGCCAGAGCCAAAACCAGAGCCAGAGCCAAAACCAGAGCCAGAGCCAAAACCAGAGCCAGAGCCGAAACCAGAGCCAGAGCCAGAGCCGGAGCCAAAACCAGAGCCAAAGCCAAAACCAGAGCCAAAGCCAGAGCCAAAACCAAAACCAGAGCCAGAGCCAAAACCAGAGCCAAAGCCAGAGCCGAAACCAGAGCCAAAGCCAGAGTGAGATCCAGATCGACATCCAGAGCCAGAATACTGTACCAAAATTAGAGTGGTGTACGAACTTGTATTATATGAATAGCTTCTAGTTTTCATTGTCATCATTGACTAGATTTATTTCAATATATCTCACTTCATAAAACGAAAGGAAAGTAACATTGTTCTGATGTCTTGTGATTCAATTCAAATGCTTTATTAATGACAAATGTTTTTTTAAAAACCTAGTTGACTTATAGACTAGACGTATAAAGCTATAAGTAGTGAATTCATGCGTACGTCCAACATTTTATTGTAGAGATATAATTTTTTTACCCGCCATCATTTATTTATAGGGAGATTTAAAGCATGTAAAAGATCAGATAAATATTGTATTAAAATTTTTACTGTACATGTTAAGTAGTTGTGCAAGATACACCTTAGAAATGCTGTCTTGTAGTTAGTTCTTGGTTTGGCGGAGAGAAGCCAAAAAGGAAACGCAGGCTAAAACAATACCTAAGAGAGTTGGATGGCCTACTATTCCAAAATTAGAATAATGTACGAATTTGTAGTATAGGTATAGCTTCTAGCTTTCAGTTATCATCATGTAATAGATTCCTTCAACATTTTTCATTTATATAACCCCGGAAAGGGTAACTACTGTAAAAAGATTTCACCAAATGAAAAGAAGAAATCTATTTTTTTAAGGGAGGAGGTGTGATGTATTTGTTTATATAAAGTGTGTATGAGAGTGGCCTCCCTTTGTAATTGGTGTGCCAGCGAGAAAAAGACGTGTGTAAGCAGTGTGTGATATGGTCAGCAGAGCGTAACCTGAGTTTGTCTTAAGAAGTAGGAGTGTTTTGGAGTTGAAGGTTATCTGTGTTTCTCGGTTGTACTTGAAAGATTATATTTTATTGTGATAAATGAACGTTGGACTCTGTTTTTAACAGTGGCGGAACTAGAAAAATTGGGCCACCCCGCAAAAAATTATTTTGGGCCCCCCATATATGTATATATACATGTATATATACATATATACATATATATATATATATATATATATATATATATATATATATATATATATATATATATATATATATATAAACACACAATACGAACATAGGATACTCATTTCTGGCCTCATCGGGTTTTGAAAACAAAAATTCAATTAAATCTAACCACAACAACATGTCATGTGTATGAGTGCTTTGATCTGTTTTAATTTATGTTTGCCTTAATACCTTTACTAACTAAGTCGGTCAAAAGTATATAAATCATGAAGCTTTGTATAAGTAATGGTATCTCGTGTTATTTTTATTCCTATGTTTTTTTTTTATTTATATTATTAGTTTTGACTACATTTTATTATTATACTATACCATTCTTTAGTACTTTTTTTTCAAATAATAATTAAGATAAGTAACTGCTGTTTAATTTGATTATTACAAATCTATTAAAAGGAGCTTATGAGCACCCCTATTTGGCTATTTGAAAAAAGGGAAATATTTTATGGTTGTGGTATGAACGTTTGCCTATCTTTCACACTACAGCTTATGTGTATACTAGGCATACTGCCTAGCTTCGCTTAGGTTTTCAAAAAAATTAAGGAATTGAATAATTAATAGGTTATTGGCTGCTATCTTAAATGCTTAGGGCCTAAATTTATACAGTGGAGTAAATTCATGGTGCAGAGATATTGATGGAATATTCGCAAACTTATCACTCGCACGGTTATTAGAACTGCAAGGGTTTTCTCAATAGTATCAATCAAATATTATAATAAATTAATTTCGCAATTAATTTTTACAATTTCAGTACAATGCAAAACTTAATTTATAACAAAATATTTATTTAAAACAATGCAAATTTTATGTTTTTTGTTTTTTTCTTGAAAAGAGAATACAAATTTTTTAAAAATTATTATATTAAAAAGTTACTTCCCCTGTTCATAGACCAAATGACCAAATCTCGTATAATGAGAATTTCACTCGCGGTCACTTTTTAGCCCTCGTCGAGGGCTTTGAGTGTAACCGACAGTTTTCCCTAAAGGTCAAGCCATTTACCTATAAGCATGCCAAAACTGAGCCAGATGTAAAGAGGGTAAGTGCCATAAAATCCGTTTTGAAATGACCCTCTGTTTTCCCCATAAAATACAAAGATTATATAGGGAAATACGACTGGTCAGTTTTGACCCATTTCCCGATTTTTCCCGGACATGGCGAGTTTTTTGTGACACCCCAAGGCGTTCTCCTACCACCTTACAAAATTTCAAGGGGGGTCGTCGGAGGAAATTTTTTTTTCGTAATAGAGCTCATGTAAAGAGAATTTCACTCGCGGTCACTTTTTAGCCCTCGTCGAGGGCTTTGAGTGTAACCGACAGTTTTCCCTACAGGTCAAGCCATTGACCTAGGAGCATGCGAAAAATTAGCCAGATGTACTGAGCTTAAGTATCCTAAAGTCTGCGTTGAAATGACCCTCTGTTTTTCCCATAAAATACAAAGATTATATAGGGAAATACAACTGGTCAGTTTTGACCCCTTTACGAAGTTTTCCCAGATATGCCGAGTTTTTTGTGACACCCCAAGGTGTTCTCCTACCACCTCACAAAATTTCAAGGGGGGTCGTCGGAGGAATTTTTTTTTCGTAATAGAGCTCATATAAAGAGAATTTCACTCGCGGTCACTTTTTAGCCCTCGTCGAGGGCTTTGAGTGTAACCGGCAGATTTTCTTAAAGGTCAAGGCATTGACCTTAGAGTATGCAAAAAATTAGCCAGATATACTGAGTTTAAGTACCCTGAAGTCTGCGTTGAAATGACCCTCTGTTTTTCCCATAAAATACAAAGATTCTACAGGGAAATACAACTGGTCAGTTTTGACCCCTTTACGAAGTTTTCCCAGATATGCCGAGTTTTTTGTGACACCCCAAGGTGTTCTCCTACCACCTCACAAAATTTCAAGGGGGGTCGTCGGAGGAATTTTTTTTTCGTAATAGAGCTCATATAAAGAGAATTTCACTCGCGGTCACTTTTTAGCCCTCGTCGAGGGCTTTGAGTGTAACCGACAGATTTTCCTAAAGGTCAAGCCATTGACCTAAGAGTATGCAAAAAATTAGCCAGATATACTGAGTTTAAGTACCCTGAAGTCTAAGTTAAAATGACCCTCTGTTTTTCCCATAAAATACAAAGATTCTACAGGGAAATACAACTGGTCAGTTTTGACCCCTTTACGAAGTTTTCCCAGATATGCCGAGTTTTTTTGACACCCCAAGGTGTTCTCCTACCACCTCACAAAATTTCAAGGGGGGTCGTTGGAGGAATTTTTTTTTCGTAATAGAGCTCATATAAAGAGAATTTCACTCGCGGTCACTTTTTAGCCCTCGTCGAGGGCTTTGAGTGTAACCGACAGTTTTCCCTAAAGGTCAAGCCATTTACCTATAAGCATGCCAAAACTGAGCCAGATGTAAAGAGGGTAAGTGCCATAAAATCCGTTTTGAAATGACCCTCTGTTTTCCCCATAAAATACAAAGATTATATAGGGAAATACGACTGGTCAGTTTTGACCCATTTCCCGATTTTTCCCGGACATGGCGAGTTTTTTGTGACACCCCAAGGCGTTCTCCTACCACCTTACAAAATATCAAGGGGGGTCGTCGGAGGAATTTTTTTTTCGTAATAGAGCTCATATAAAGAGAATTTCACTCGCGGTCACTTTTTAGCCCTCTTCGAGGGCTTTGAGTGTAACCGACAGTTTTCCCTACAGGTCAAGCCATTGACCTAGGAGCATGCAAAAAATTAGCCAGATATACTGAGCTTAAGTATCCTAAAGTCTGCGTTGAAATGACCCTCTGTTTTTCCCATAAAATACAAAGATTATATAGGGAAATACAACTGGTCAGTTTTGACCCCTTTACGAAGTTTTCCCAGATATGCCGAGTTTTTTGTGACACCCCAAGGTGTTCTCCTACCACCTCACAAAATTTCAAGGGGGGTCGTCGGAGGAATTTTTTTTCGTAATAGAGCTCATATAAAGAGAATTTCACTCGCGGTCACTTTTTAGCCCTCGTCGAGGGCTTTGAGTTTAACCGACAGATTTTCCTAAAGGTCAAGCCATTGACCTAAGAGTATGCAAAAAATTAGCCAGATATACTGAGTTTAAGTACCCTGAAGTCTGCGTTGAAATGACCCTCTGTTTTTCCCATAAAATACAAAGATTATATAAGGTAATACGACTGGTCAGTTTTGACCCCTTTACGAAGTTTTCCCAGATATGCCGAGTTTTTTGTGACACCCCAGGGCGGTCTCCTACCACCTCACAAAATTTCAAGGGGGGTCGTCGGAGGAAATTTTTTTTCGTAATATAGCCCATATTAGGCGCCGGTCAGTCGAGGTCAGTTTTGATCCCCTGTCCGTAGACTTTTCGGCAAACCTTCACCGGCCATCATGTTCTATCGCCCCAAGGCACCATCGTGCCAAATTTGACGCGCCTGCGGCGCCGGGAAGCGCCCTATCGGGCACCCGACCACTTTGCTTTATATATATAGATTTAAAAAAAAATGTTTATGCAACAGCATGTCTTAGCTACTATATAATATCACTACTGTATTATATCTGTTATCTGCTTGTTATTTACAAAACCACTATCAAGGTGCCAGTGACGAAACTAATATATATATATATATATATATATATATATATATATATATATATATATATATATATATAAACCGGTATCATTCGTTTATTTATTTGAGACGTTTGCCTTGTTTTCTAGAACAGTGGTTATTAAATGTAAACAATGTCGGCACTTTATTTCTTGGATATTAGTTGTTGGAGCGCTAGTTTGTCAACACTACCACCGATTCGAGCCAGCTTTGTTGTTGGAGCGCTAGTTTATCAAAACTACCACCGATTCGAGCCAGCGTTGTTGTTGAGGCGCTATCTATTCGCTTCTTGTAAGGCTAAGAATGAGAGGGGAGGTCTGAGAAAGGAACTTAAAATGGACAACAAAGCACCGATGTGCTTTTATCCATCAGTACCAAATTTGGGATGGTCTCAAAAAGCCGTCTTAATATCTAGCGGCCTCTCGCGCAATTGATGTTTTTTCAAAAGAATTTTGCCGACAACAGCGTGTATTTGATTGTAGGAAAAAAGAATATACAAGAGCGTGGGATGGTGTCTATAGAATAAAGATACTCCAACCGCAGCTACAGTATTCTTTTTTCAAAACAACCATCAGGTCAAAAATGCAAGAAAATTAATTTTAACTTTTAAAAAATGATTATGGGCGGTTGTGGGCCCTCTAAACGGCGTGGGCCCCCCCGCATTGCGGGGTCTGGCGGCACTGTAGTTCCGCCCCTGGTTTTTAATTGTGTTATGGCTAGTTCCCAACAGAAAGACGTCAACTGAGCATAACACTATTCTACTTTTAAAAATTTAAGTAATTAAAAATGGATTTAAACATTTGTCTATATCCCGAGTTGCCATTCCCCGTAGTTTTATATAAGAATATTCGCAAAATCTTATGGGAGATCATTCCCGGTTAATTTTTTTAAATCATTTACTACGATTTATCTTGTTTTAATATATATATATATGTATATATATATATATATATATATATATATATATATATATATATATATATATATATATATATATATATATCACCATGTATATATATATACATATATATATATATATACATGGTGATTAAACCTTAACCTTAATCTAGATTTTTAAAAAAGTAAAGATCAAAATTGGTTTATTATTTTAATTATTCACAAAAAAAGTGGAACCATTCATTATTAAAACGAACAAGTACATGCCCTAGTCATAAAACATATCTAAGTAAAACAAACAAACACAACAAACTTTACAAACATCCAGCTAAGTTACTGGATGGAAAATAAAGAGAAAAGAAATCGAAAACATGAATAATATACCTCATATATATATATATATATATATATATATATATATATATATATATATATATATATATATATATATATATATATATATATATATATCTGAGACAATAATATATAGGCTGCTATTCAAGATAATTATAGGAAAATTCGACAACCTGATTTACAAAACTGAAAATTTTAAAAAGTGTCTATTATGTTCAATAAGCAGGAAATTGGATCCAAAACAGGCTAACGAATGCAAATATGTACACATTTTTTTACCATTATATGTAGCCACCCCCACCCACCACTACCACACACACACTAACAAAACACCAAAGGGCGTGATCTAATAACGTCAGCAGTACTAAATAAATGCTGTTTACTTTAGGCCCATAGAATTCTCCGAAGGCAATGCAATATGACATCAAATTTAACTTATTTGGATGACTAATAAACATTTTAGGAATTAATTAAAATTGTCTGAAATTAGTATAGCTACCTACCACTTTTCCGCACTATTATGCGCGCAATATATTGTACATAAGGTGCGCAATAGGTTTTGGTTATGCAACTCTATTGCGTTACAAAATTTAATTAGATATGTCGACTGAGATCCAAGAAACACAAAATATTTATTGAGAAATTGGCAACAATTTAAATTAACGAGCTACAGAATCTTGCGCAAACAAAATTGGCATCGTATGAAATTAAACGAAAATAAATTACAATTAACTTTTACAATTACTTTTATCTGTTAAATCAGTAGGTTACTTTAAATGTAAAGTATTAAAATGATAAGTGTTTTAAAGTCTCTCAAGCTGTATTTGAGCTGTTGAAAATATGAGTTAAAATAATTATAGTTATTAGAAAAACGCCAATTAGAAAAAATGCCAATTAGAAACAGAAAATTAAAAAAAAACGTATCCTGAGATAATAGGAATTCTGATAGTCAGGGTTTAGCACCCTCATTTACAAGAATATAATTTCATAAAAAGTTTGTAAACCCGATTTTGTTCAAGCTTGTGATTTTTATTTTGTCAATATTTATTGTAATACATGCTAGGAGGTTTTCAGGAAATAGCTTATGTTTTAAGATGACTTGTATGAAGATTAATCTGGCTTCCTTCTGGTTGGTGCACCATGTGTGAAGTGTTCGATAGTTTAATTTATCGTTTTTAAATAAGAGATTATTAAAAAACTTATAGAACTGAAAGACTGGATCTCTGTGATTTTTAAACAGAAAGATTAAAATAATAAGCTCCTTGTTTATTAATGTATTGTATACGTTGCTTCACATTTAAAAGTAAAATGTTCAGAAATCCGTGACTTCATGTAGTAACAAAGAAACAACATTTGGCTTATTTGATTTATAGCTGAATTACTTTCTTGATCAATAGAAGCTTTTTTTTGTATATAAGTAATGTTAAGAAAACTAACATTAAGATTCATCACAATCGGTTAAAGTCCCATCCACCTGACCCACTATAATTTAATCCACCAGAATTAGCTCCACTGTGAGGATGGGCAGGCCAGCTATATCCTAGTCTGTAGACCATCGCTCCACTAGAACCTGGGCATGTGCTAGCTGTGTACGTATAACTTGTTGCTTTCCCCATTAACTGTTGATATACCTGCCTGTGTACCCAAAAACCTATAGAAACCTGCTTGGAACAACCATGAGGATGAGACACTATAATGGTCAGCTTATCTACATCTTTACGACATTTATATTTGTCGCTTAATTTCTGAAATAGACCATTTTCCCGCAACAACATCTCCTGCAGTTTACAACATAACTCTTCATCATGTGTCGTACAAGACAACTCACATACGTCACCAACTGTGTGGAAACCAACCACCTTCCACCCGTGAATATTGACTATGGGACAATTCTCCTCATCAAACCACAACCTACAACTGGACTGTCTCGCTTCACTGTCATCATAAACCACATGTGATGCTGTTAGAACCACAACTTCCCACCAGATTTTGCTGGGCGTGTTGGGGTGTTTACATTCAGGACATGGACAAGTGTTGTGGCCGTCCATTCCCTCTGTGTGCTTGGTCACACGACACACCTTCCCAGTGCCTGTCCTCAGTACGTGCTTATCTCTGATTTGGTAGCACGGATACGGTTCGTCGGTGTCTTGTACAAACTCTGGTCTGTCTGGACTAGCAAATGTAATCGCTATCCTAACCGTTAGGTCTGATATAGCTTTTGTGAAATCATATATATCATTTTCACGGTAATCAGGAGGAAAGTATTCTAATGATAAGTTGTTTACAGGAATAAAGTGTTTATGGTCAGGATTTTTCCTACAGTTTGCCCAATGTGTGTGTAGATCTACCTCACCTTGACCTTCAAGACATTCAAGTACTTCATGTGCACCTGTAAACACAAAAGACTACATTTTAAGTAGGCTACATTGTGTTTCTCGACCAGATGTTTATTAGTTTTGGGCTGATGTTCCGTGTAATATGTTTTCATTTCTATAAGATATGTGTATGCTTTCTGTGTAAAATGTGTTTGTTTGTGATCCTGCATAATGTCGTAAACTATTGTTAATTTTGATGGATTTATTTATAGTAAACAAACTACTTTGGCGATTACACATCAATAAACATCAAGGACGAAAACATGTGCAATCTAACACAAATCGAATCCAACATAAGATATTTAAGAAATTATTGGTAAAATAAAATAAAGCATTAGCGCCAAATTAAGTAGTAAACTTTAAATGAAGTTGCTGTTTATTGCACGAGATTTAGTTTACATTGGAGAAAGATAATGAAATTACTTTACCTTTAAAATGTATCGATAAATCTTCTTCGCTTGTCATAGTGTTGAGGTCAGCTGAAATAAAATGTCATTACGCAATAATAAAATCAACATTGTGATTTGACAAACGGACCTCGCCGCCACTCAATAATATTGATGTATTTTTACTTTCTCGTAAACGAAGTATAGAGGAAGTATTTAAACTGTGCTTAAAAAGAATAGACACAATCATCGTTGTTTAAAAGTTTAGTACCGTTAGATTAGTTAGACCAGAAGCTCTTTTTTTTACGCAATTAACACTTCCTTTTATTAAAAACCAATGTCAACAATGAAACGAAATAAAAGCTATAGACTTTTCCTTAGACTACTTAATTATTTGGTCGACCAGACTACTATTTATTAATATTATTTAATTAGATTAGACAGAATTTACTTACCAATATAATAGAAAATGAGTTCGTTTTAAAACAATGCTAGCCTACTATAAAGTATTTTTCTAAATATTGGGTCCAGCGTATTAAAAAGTAATAATGGTCGATATTTTCTTCAACTTACTATTTCAATTTATTGCTGATAATGATAATGTTATACATAGCCCTATAACAAATTTCGAGACGTAGTTTCTATTATTAGAATGTATAGTCATTGGAAAAACCGAGACAAATATCCGTTTTAAGTTCTAACTAGATCTAAATCTAGTCTAGAAATTCCCGATTTATAACTTTAATCTTTATTCTATTAAAAATCATCTCCATGTAGCTTTCGTTAAAACAATATAAAATAGACCCTTCCTTCCATATCTCATTTTATAAAAATCTGAGTTAATCACAACATTTGGTATACAATCGTTATAGTTTCAAATTATGTTTCCTAATTAGTTAAATCCCCTATACCTTTTAAATTGTACAGCGACTACATTTTTTTAATCAAAGCAAATACAGACGTAACGTTGCAAACATGCACTATATAATGACTTTAGCTATCTGTGGAGCATAAGCGTAATTTTAAAATCAAAGTAATAATAAACCGGGAGTAATCTCCCCTAAACTTTCTCGAATATTCTAATATAACACTACGTGGGATGTCAACTCGGAATATAGACATGATTTTTGTTTACTTAAACTTTTAAAAATAGAATAAAATCTAGTAGAAAAAAAATGCGCACCAAGCTAGCACCAAAACCAAATGTGCGTAATAGTGCGCAATAGTATTAGTACTTTAAAAATTTACATTAGTTTTTTGAGAAATCGGAAGTAGCGTAAATTACTACTTCCGGTCAACGGAAATTACTCAAAATTTAACAGAAGGTAGAGCACGGGTTCCCAACCTGGGGGTCGCGACCCCCCTGGGGGTCGCGATGATCTTTCTAGGGGGTCGCCGACTGGTATACTAAACCTTAGTAATTTGAAACAAAACATATATATTTAGAAGAATTTTTTAAAATTCGGCTTCATTAACATCACTGGAAATGTAATAGAGAAGAAACAAAGCTCACTGTACAAAGTTGTTCTCATTCACGAATCTATAAAATCTTCAAAACTAAAACGTCATTTGAGACGAGTCATTCGGAACACACCAAAAAATATATGGAGTTCTTTCGTCGGTAAGAAGCTAGTTGCAAACGCCAGAGACTTGATCGAACGGGAAGTTTTTACCAGCATTAGTGCAAGCATCAAATGAAGTTGCGATAGAAAATGCCCAGCAAAAAAAAACAAAAAACACAGTAGGAGAAAATCTCATCAAACGCTTTATTAAGCTGTCAAACGAAATGTTGTTAATTGTGTTTTTGAATTGAAATCTGAAATCAAATTGTTCTTGGAAGTGCAAAGAAAACAAGACTTTTTGGTATACTTAAAACGACAACGAGTGGTTGGAGAGAGTATCATGCCTAGCAGATGTTTTCGAACATCAAGGTAAGCTTAACCTGAAACTTCAGGAAAAATGAACGAATATTATAACTTTCCATGATAATCTCGGGGCATTTTTATCCAAACTGCAAAATCGGTAAAGAAATTAAATCTTGGAAATATTGTAAATTTGAGAAACTCTGCGGTGTGGTAGATGAATCTGATTGTGAGATAATTAAAATTTTGAAAGAAGCGATTTCTGGGTATCTTGAATCTCTTGAAAACGAACTGCATCGCTATTTCTCTGAGCTGAAAAAAAGAAGAATCTGCATTTACGTATCCCCCATTCTCTTCTTCCCTTGATGTTGCCAGTGTTTCTTCCAGACTTTTTTCTCCGGGGGGGCTCTTGAAATTTTCGGGGGGGGGGGGGGTGGGAGGCGGTAGACTTTCTTCGGGGGGGGGCGGACACTGTTAAAAGTATATATTTTCTATATAATTTATATAAATTTCATTTCGTTCGGGGGGGGGGGGGGGGCGGTAAAAAAAATTTCGGGGGGCTTTGCCCCCCCCCCTCCCGAAAAGATGCCTGGAAGAAACTCTGAATGTTGCCAGCATTTCCCGATGAATTATATGAATGAATTCTTTGATTTGCAGAATGATTCCGAGTAAGATGAAAAACTGCAGACACAATTTTGGTGTAGTATTCACCATTCATAGCCAAACGTAAAATTGATTGACTTTTCGATAATATATTTTCAACACTATTCTTCTATTAAAAACAAAATTAAGATAATTATAATAACATAGGTTGGCGTTAACAAAAAAAAATTAAATTTAATTAAAAAGTTAACCACGAACGTTTAGTGAATAGTATGCAATTTTACTCATGCTATTAAAACAGTTATCAAGAGTAGTTCATATTGAAAGTCTACTAGAAAATCTTATTTTAGTGCTTATTAATTTCCATACTAATTTCGGCTTTTTAATTCTATGGGGGGTCGCGGGTCACTTACTTTTTATAAAAGGGGGTCGCCACTCGAAAAAGGTTGGGAACCACTGAGGTAGAGAATTAGATCTTTTACTTACATGTGAAATTTCATTTATCTATCTGAAATAGTACTCAAGTTATAGGCTTTTGAAAAATTCAAAGTAGAAAAATTACCATTTCCGGTTGTCGGAAATCGCTCAAAAGTTGATACGGATCTACGATTTTGATATAATACTTATATATGAAATTTCATCAACCTAGCTGTAACGGTACTCAAGTTATCGTGTTTACACACGGACACACACACAGACACACAGACACACACACACACAGACATACGGACAAGATTGCAAAATTATGTTTTTCCGTATCAGTGAGGTGTAAAACGTCGAGATTTGTAAAAATCTCGATTTTGTTTTTTTTTTTGCACGATTACAATACTTTCTCTATACTACGTATATACGAGAAAGTAAAAAGTGCACTTAAAAACATACTGATGGAGGTTTTGTACACATCATCCCGGGAAATTCGTCACCCGAAAACGTATTTCTTTCGTATAAGTTATAACGTAATGCAGAGGTAATCGAAAAATTCAAAGACCTTTTTTTTTAGTTCTCATTAACCTCCCCTGTTGTATGGTATGTTACTACGACTAACATTCAAATACGTTTTAATCTAAATGCCACTGATAGCTTTCACAATTTCAAACTATCGGACACGAGTTTATACACACCGAATATATATGATAGAGTAGTATTACAAAGTAGTGTTTTATTCAAGAATGACATTAACCAGAGTTTCTTTCAGGCATCTATTCGGAGGATGCACTGCCCAAGAAAAGAAATATATATATATATATATATATATATATATATATATATATATATATATATATATATATATATATATATATATATATATATATATATATATAGAGAGAGAGAGAGAGAGAGAGAGAGAGAGAGAGATAAATATTGTTTTAAAAATAAAGTTCTTGCTGTTGTCGTATGTGGTGTGAGGAAAATTGATTTTTCCTTTCTTCTGCTAACTTTAGTGGGTTTTTTTTTTTCTCTGAGGAGAGGGGGCACTTTGAAAATGCATTTATAAATTAAATCAATTGGGGGGGGGCGCCGGGCGAGGGGGGGGGGGGGGTGGGCATATATCTACCACCCCCACCCCCACCCTAACCATTCTGGTGAGCTTTAGTACACGACGAATGTTTACAATTAGTGACGGCTACTACGGGCAGATAATTTAGTATTAAACGATTTGAAACAAAGAGGAGTTAACAATTTCTTCTTGATCTTTTCATTGTCGTCTGTAAACGGCTGCTTTCATTGGGCGAGAGGGGGGTAGTGTCGAATTCACAAATTATGAATGACTGATAAGCAGAAAATAAAACAACTAGGCCTAGATAGCGGCGTATGCTACGTCGCGGGTCAGTTCGTAGCGATTATTTACAAAATATCGATCATTTTAACTTTCTCGTATACGGAGTATAGAAAAAGTATTGTAATCGTGAAAAAAAAATCAAGATTTTCAAAAATCGCAACATACTACACCTCGCTGAGTCCGAAAAACATAGTTTTGCAATTTTGTTGGAATGTCTGTGTGTGTGTATGTCTGTATGTCTGTAAACACGATAACTTGAATACCGTTACAGCTAGGTTGATGAAATTTCATATATAAAAGTATTATATCAAAATAGTAGTTGTGTCAACTTTTCAGCGATTTCCGATAACGGGAAGTGAAATTCATCCTACTTTCAATTTTTCAAAAGCCCATAACTTTACAACTGTTTCAGATAGATAAAGGAAATTTACATATAGGTAAAGGATCTGATTTTCTGCCTTCTGTTAAATATTTGAGTAATTTCCGTCGACTGGAAGTAGTAATTTAAAAGCTATTTCCGATTTCTGAAAAAAACGCATGTAAATTTATAAAGTGCTAATAGTATTTCATACTGTTATACACATATTGTTTGGCGTTCACTTGGTGCGCAATTATTTTTTCTAATAGATTCTATTCTATTTTTAAAAGTTTAAGTAATTAAAAATGGATTAAAAATCATTTCTTTATCACGAGTTGCCATCCATCGTAGTGTTATACAAGAATATTCGAGAAAGTTTAGGGGAGATCACTCCCGGTTTATTTAAATAAATATCACAAATACCCTACATTTACAAAATATGACATTATAATTTATTTTCAAGGAAAGTATATTTAAACCATATACCCTATATCAAATTATTGTAAGTTTAAATTTGCGAATCATAGATAAAAAAAATATCATTTCGAATTAATAAACAGACCATTTTTCAACCACTTAGCGTAGTTAGCGTTTAGTAATTGCTGGTGCCAGTGGCGTAGCGAGGTCGGGTGTCACCCGGTGCGGCACTCAATGGTGTCACCCCCCAGAGGCGTAACGACCCTTCCCGTGGACAAACTTTCAAGTTTTCGATTTGCACCACCCCCCTCAAACTTTCGATTTGCACCCTCTCCCTCAAGTTTTCTCTATATATTTTGCTATTTTTTGTCTTGGTGTCACCCCTTAAATCTGTGTCACCCGCGCACCCCCCGCCCTCTCCCCTCGCTACGCCCCTGGCTGGTGCTATATCCAAAAATAGACGCTATATATGAATAGTATGATAGCAAAAGGCTAGAGACGACAAATTTACATTTCAGTCCACCTCACACCCGCTTTGGTTTAATCCCGTTGACTTAGATCCGCGGTGGGGGTGGTCTGACAGCTTACACCCTACTCTGTAGATCTGTGCCCCACTGCTACCTCGACATGTGCAGTTTGTGTATGTGTAGCTGGTGAGTCTATCAGTCTTCTGCTCCTTATCCACCCAGCGGCCCACAGATACGTGCTTTACACAGCCATGGGGGTGAGACACTATAATCATCACTTTCTCGTCCGCCCTGTCTTTGTATTTCTCCCACATTTCGAACTGGAGATTATCAAATTTTCTGACCGTTTTCTCGAGCTGATCCCCTACCTCTAAATCATGCGTCGCACAGTAAAACATTGCCATGTCTCTCTCCGTGTTTGACCCAGCCATCTCCCAACCATACAGTTTAACATTGGGACTGTTTTCACTATCATACCATAATCTACAGCTTGATTTTGTCGCCTCAATGTCGTCAAACACCACGTGTATTGACGTCAGAACCACCGCCTCCCACCACTCATCCTTGGGCGTGTTAGAGTTAACACAAATAGGACACGGACATGTCCTGTACTCTCGAAAAGATTCGTCCATGTCTTCTGTGTACCTGGTCATCTCGTACACCCGACCAGTCCCCACCGTCATAATTCTCTTACCCCTGGCGTGGTAAAACGGATACGGCTCTCTAGTGATGGGCGTCAGCTTCGGTCTGTCATTGCTGATAAACTTAACATCAATCTTGACTGTTAGTTCGGCCAGAGTTTTTGTAAACTCGAGAAGGTCGTCGTTATGGTAACCAGGAGGAAAATGTTGAGTGGAGAGGTCTTGTATGGGGATAAACCCATCGTGAGGTTTGTTGCATTTTTGTGTGTGAACGTCCAAACCTGCTTCAAGCTCACCTTCTTGGCATTCAAGTACTTCATGTGTACCTGTATAGGTAAAAATATACCGGTGAATGGAACAACCTTAAACTTTTTGTGAAATTGTACAGGTACAAATATACCGGTGAATAGAACAAACCCTTAAGCTTTTTGTATACCTGTACAGGTAAAAATATACCGGTGAATAGAACAACCTTAAACTTTTTTGTGTAACTGTACAGGTAAAAATAGACCGGTGAATAGAACAACTTTAAACTTTTTGTGTAACTGTACAGATTAAAACAGACAATAGTGTGTACACATTCTGGTAAAAAGAACAACAATATACTTTTGTGTGTAACTGTACAGGTAAACAAAACAAGGAAAAATATGTCTCTAATGCCCATGCTATCTTTTGTTCTTAAGATCATCAGTTCTTGTGATTTGCTGTCTGAGATATTTTGTCCTTGAGATATTTCGTCCTTGAGATCATTTGTCCTTGATATATTTTGTCCTTGAAGTCATTTGTCCTTGAGAACTTTTGTCTGAGATATTTTGTTCTGAGATCATTAGTAACTGATCTATGTCTAAATGCAGCTGTAAATAAAATAATTTTATGCTTCATATGTGCACGTGCAAAAAGCAAAAACAAAAACAACTTTGTATGTATCGTATTTGTGATGCTGTGTGTTATATGAGTGAATCGGATTGCGAACAAATAGTGATGAAAACGAATAATGAATACATGGAGTCTTGACGCAATATATAAGATGTAATATAGTTACATCACCGTGTTGCTGTGGAGAGAAAGGTTAGTTTAATTTCCTTCTGGACTTTTGATCAGTGTTTATTCCAGACATCTCTTCGTCAACATCTAAACCATCACCATCATAAGACATGTAACATCACACAGAAGCTTCACTAATTTTAAAGCTTGGTGGAATATATACAAAAATACTTATATCTACCTATATAATCAATTGATGAGTCATCGTTTTCAATCTCACTCTGTTCACTGCTAGAGGTGACAGACATGTTTTGTTCTCATTAACTCTATAATAGTTCCAGCTTTTTGTTTCGCCCGAGTAAAATAATAGTCTGAAAACGCAGGTTTTATATTGTTCAATATAAATAAATACAAATCAATTAACGCTAAGGACAAGTAAATATCCTTTTATGCACATGTTGTTATAGCTTTGGGAACATCCTTAAATGATGTCACGCTTTAAATTTTTTTACCCCCCCCCCCCCCCCCTCTCCTTAGTCACTCATCGTCAGAAATAGCCAGAATAAAAAAAAACAAAAACTGTGTATTCTATGTAGAACAACAATCGAGAACATTAATACAGACACTTGCATACAGTGGCATCTACTACTATTATTCTGTCTAGATAAGCCACGCCAAAAAGTTAACCCCCGCCACAACCCTCACCCCCAATTTGCATAAAGAGGTCTATATTTTGGTACCTTAACCCCAAGCTTAACCCCTAGAGGCGGAATAAGAAGTAGCTTTTATGTCGTGCGTTTAAATGTTCTAATGTCAAGACATTAGTAGTGGCTCACTAGTGGCTTGACTTAAATTTTCCCTATTTGCACTATTTGCATTAGTGGCGGGGCTTACCTAGATAAGATTCAAATATTCTACACAAAAAAATATATGGACTAAACTGGTAGTAGAAAATAATAATATAATACTTCAAATACGCAGTCACATTCATACTTTCACACCTCCTTAAATACTCGCACAAAATCTAGCACAACATGGACGACAATCTCACGATAGACAACTCACAACACGGGGAGTGACCACAACTGAATATGTCGAACTGAGCGCGGACAAAATTAAGTTTATCAAAGTGATACATACCTGGTTGATGGGTGATAACACTTCATCTATGACCTCGAGATTTAATTTGTAGGCACATGCGTTGCTAATTATTATTACACCAGCAGGACAAACTTTAAGCAAAAAGTTACAACGTTGAATGCCCGTCTGCCTCAGCGATAGTTGGCCAGAGGTAACAGATGTTTTGGTATGGATGGAAAATACGTGTTGTGTGTGTTGTTGTTGACCTACTTCTAATACATGTCATTGATTTTTTTTTCTAGTGTTAAGGTAATAAGTGTTATAATTTATCTTCTATAAAACATCGTTTGTTTTAAATATTCTAGATAAAATATGCCATGTTGTGTTAGAATGCCTTAGTTATTTTATTTATGTCTAGTCAGAGAGGGCTGGGAATGAGGTTTCCATTCTGATGCCGTTATAATAATATACCACCGTAACTTGCAAACCGACGATCCTAATAAATTATTTGTTAATCTCTATATTTTATCACATTTTGTTTTTAGAGTTCTAAAACTAAATATGAATGTCACAATATAGATTCTGATTGACTGTATAGTGTCTACAACATGGCTGAGTAGTAGTAACCAACTTTTTATCGTATCTTCTAAGGAGCTGTCGTCATGAAGGTGTCCTTCGTAAATTACATTTCACTCCTAGAAGGTTAGTTTCGGACCTTGATGACGATGAGCTATGAGCGTGCGTGTTTATTCAATCTGACGTCAGATGTTTCCATTTAAAAAATAGTCCTAATAAGTTAAACTGAATTTTAGCTATTTTTTCACATTTGAAAAAAAAAATTCTGTCTTTAATCATGATTTAAAATTTGAGCAATATACTTAAATTTCAAAAAGATTAGAAAATATTCTAGATAACAATGGCTTTCTGTAGGAGTGGCTCTAGCGAAAAATCGTGAAAAAAAGACAACTTAGAAAAAAACATTGACGCGATAAAAACAATCACATATATATAATCATCAACAGTATTTTAATTAATTTAAAATCGCACTCAACAAAATTTTATTTTAAAATATACATTACGAAACAAAAATAAGACTAATAATTTTTATTTTAATTAATAACTTTAATGATTGACAAAATCATTTTAAAAGTTATGCATTAGAATAACTTTAATCGAAGCTTAGTTATTTCATACTGGTTGAACAATGTGACATACAAGACAAAACACACTAACATACCAGGCAAAACAGACGGAGAAAACTGTAAAAATAAAATCGCTTTTCTTCTTAGGCGGGTGGTAAACAGCTACATTACTGATACATTTACCACGAGAACTGCCTATTTAATGTATAACCTACATTTTATATGCATTTTACATATTTGAAAAAATATAACTAAAAAAAAACAGTTCTGGTCTTTTCGAATAATATCCTTACCACAGCACAACAGAAACAAGTAATTAAAAAAAGTCTAGTGACAATTTTAGCGCAATTTCCTTGTGTTATCTAAAAATAGCTCTGTCGTAGCGTAAATCAAGAGCTGGGTTAGTAAAACCATTGGTTAGTTATTAAAACGTTTTTTATTAACTTTTTTTTTCAGTATTTTACATGTTTTATTTACAATAGAGTAACATGACTAAAAACCATTGCGCGCCCAGCTACCGTACGCGACGTCGCAACCATTGAACGTGATGGCGCAGCTATTGAACGTGATGACGCGTGTGGTGTGGTTGCATAAAATGCCTACTAATTCAGTCCAAATTTTAATTAATTCAAAAAAATTTTTGTGACCAAACGAAAGGATATTTTTGAAAACTTTCTTCGGCAATATTGTTCTAAATTATGGCAGGAATCGATTGGTACATGTTTCAAGTCGCTAAGTGGTCTGGTTGCCGAGTTATGGGCCAAAAACTACATTTTTTCGAGGTTTTTTGGCTTTTCCGGGAAATCCATGAAAGAAACCCGGAATTTTTATGGCCTATGTTCATCCTCGTAACTTGCTTAACATAATTGCTTTTGGAACTAGTCCTCGATATTGCTTCCTTGAGGAGGAGATTCGACTTAACGCTGCTGACACACATCCATCCATCCATTCACCCATTCATTCCCAGAAAAGACGAGTTAATAAACGCAATTCTCCAGAATGGAAATTGCGCTAAAAAGAAATAATACGGCTTTCTAATTTAGACCATGGTCTAGCAGAAGGGAAACAACTCAAAGAAATATTTTCCACATAATAGTCCTGGTCTGGTTGTTACCCTTTATAATGGGAAACAGTTGTTCCAATAACCAGTGTCAGCATTTGTCTGAAGCGTGAAGTAAATACTGTTTCTTTCTAAATTTGACTGTATTAATTAAAAAATAACGTTCTCATGGACCTTATTTAACCATACGTTAGTAAATTGCTAATGTCTTATTAATTTCGCAGTAGCTATGAACAGAATAATTTAAAATTGGTAACGTGTTTGTAAAATTAGAAACCCCAAATGTAAAATTTCATTATGCATTTTTGTTCCTCCATCATAGCGTGAACTTTACGCCTTGGCATGAAGGAAAGGTTAAAATACCAACAATTTAAATAAAACAAATATAATAGAACTAGTACAGCACCTTTCCTAGGGGCATACCGAATTTGTTTTTCTAGGATCCAACCGGCATTTTTCCTGCCCAATCCGGAGTTGCTTTTAGAGTCATCCCCCCCCCCCCCCCAAATTTCCTAAAGAATGTTTACCCCCTTCCCTCCGAAAGAAATAGAATATATATAACAATATATACTTTTACCCGTTTCTGCCCCCCCACCCCCCCTCCCCATAAGAAACTTTATCCCGCTCCCCCTCTCCCGAAAATATAAAGTCCCACCCCCACCCCCCTGGAGAAAAAAATGAGTAAGAAAAATTGGACCAGTCCACCTCTGACCTCTAAGTCTGGGTCGCATTGGGCAGTAAAAATAAACAGTGACCCAATCGTCCATCCATGTCTACATGTTATCTTATCCGCAGATATGCGAGCCTAAAGCGGAAACAACATGTCCACAAGGCCACCAAGACACGATGTTTTTTGACCTACTTTAGCACTTCGCTACCACTCACTACTCGTGTGTGTAACTTAACACCAAAGTGGCGGCTTGTCGTGCTTACATCCTGACAGTGTGTTGTATCACTCAACTCAGTTTTATCACTCAAATGTTTTCTCCAAGTTACGCTGGTAGATCCTTGTATCGTTCCACTTCTAGCTTCACTACGGTATGTTGTACGACTCAAATGTTCTCAGAGTTAACTTTAGCGGAATCTAGTAACATCCGTGTACAGCTTCACTAAGGTATGTTTCCCAAACATTATACTATTCTATTATTACATAGCAACATCAACATTTTTAATAAATAAAAATAATATTTATTTTAAAAATGTATTTTTTTTATTTAGTTAACCCACTTCGTTTAGACTACAATAATATAAAAATTGTTTTTATTTTTACAGAGGAATAAATGGGTAACGTAAAATCTACACCAACAGATAAAGAAAACAAACATGCTGATATTGGGAACAAAAATACTAGAGCGATAGCTAGTGGGGGTGTGTCAAACAAACGCACAGGTATGTATGATTACGACTGTAGGACTATATGCTGAATACATTTGTGGTACCTTTCTCTAAGTCCGGGTCGCATTGGGCAGTAAAAATAAACAGTGACCCAATCGCCTATCCATGTCTATATATCTTTCTGATTGTTGTATTTTTGGGTTGAATCATTATGTTGTTTGTATTGTGTTTAATAATTATGTTGTTTGTCTTGTGTTGAATCATTATGTTGTTAATTTTGTGTTATTTTTGTGTTGTATCATTATTATTTTTTTAATTATTAATAGGAGATGATTCGGATACTTTAAATGAACAGGACAGTGAAGAAGACGTATCCCAATATTTTATAGGTAATATCAATTTTATTTTCCCGCGGGTAAAAGGGGGTGGTGATTGGGGGGGGGGGGAGTATACATAAATAAAATAAAAAGCCAATCAGGAACCGAAGAAACCGTTATGGTTCAGTGTCGATGTTGAATAATTGTTTCTTTTTTTTCTTCTTACTTTTTAAAGTATTTTATAATCGTGATGGTCGGGGTGGCTCTAAATTTTTTAAGTTAAAAGTGTTTCTTTTTTTGTTATATGCTACCAGCCAATGAAATGTTTACAATAAGTAAATTGTTTTCTGTATCTGTGCAGGTACGCATGAAGTGCTAGAATGTCTTGAAGGTCAAGGCGAGGCAGATTTAAACACAAACCTGGCAAACTGTAAAAAAAATCCTGGCCATGCAGGGTTCATTCCTATAAATAAGTTGACGCTTGAACATTTTCCCTCTGGTTACCATGACAACGACTTATATGAGCTTATAAAAGCTCTGGCTGACGTAACGGTCAGGATAGCCGTAAAGTTCACCAGTCTAAATCGACCAGAGTTTGTTCTAGGCACTAAAGTTCCATATCCTTGCTTTAAAGGAAGGGGAAATAACTCATTGAGAACAGGGACTGGAAGGATGTGGGGTGTGACTAAGTACATCGAGGGAATGGACGAGATCTACGGTACCTACAGAACGTGTCCGTGTCCTGAATGTGACCACTCGGACACACCTTGCCCAGTGTGGTGGAAGGTTACAGTACTGACAGCCCGACATGTGGTGTTTGATTCGAGCGAGGCAAAACAATCCAGTTGTAGGTTATGGTTTGATGAGGATCAAAGTCCAGTGTTGAACATGTATGGATGGGAAGTTGATGAAACTTACACTGAAGAAGACTGGTGCAAGATGTATTGCGTGACCCATGACGCAGAGATCGGCGAAAAACTAGTGGGAATGTTGAGGAGATTTATTAGTCTATGGGGTAAAGTCAGCATTAAATACGAGAGTCGTAAAGAGGTGGACAAGCTGACCGTTATAGTGTCACATCCTCATGGCTGTTCTAAGCAGGTATCCGTGGGTCACTGGGTACATAAGCAGGAGATGTATAATACAAATATCACCAGGTACACGTATACTACATGTACCTGTCCAGGTAGCAGTGGGGCCGAAGTGTACAGGTTAGGGTGCTCGTGGTCTACCCACCCCCACAGCGGTGCTAATTCTGATGGTTTGAATTACAGTGGGGTGAGGTGGGGTTAGACAAAGTCTGATTTTCGTACACGTAGAATACACTTTCGGACCTGGATGTCTATCTGGCAGATGAATTGGAGTTGATTTATTTCTTTGACCGATTCTATGTCCAGCCCTTTTTACCTTCCCTTACGTTATTCAGGTATCAATCAGAAAAGGGGTGGACTCGGGAACACCTTTTGGGCACGTGACCGATATCGAAACGCTATACTTTTGGACGATCATTCGTGCGCTGCACTACTAAAAAAATAGATGATAATATCATTACATTTTAGAAGTGATGTATTTACTGCACAATAGTGTAAAGGTCATGAAGACATTTTATTCAGCTCGGTATACTGGTTTTTTTTGTTTGTTTTGTCGAGTTATAAATGTTGGATATTTCTTAAACTAAATCAACCATTAAAAATAAGAACACCTAAATTGAGTAGTCAACTTAATTATGAACTCTAATTAATGAATTAAGAAACATCTTGGCTTCCTCGAGTAGTTTAGTAAAGTTCCCTTTCGAACCTGACGGTCCATCGGTTAACTGAAGTAGAGTTCACCTGGTTCTGTGACCTCGGCATATGAAGGGATAGTGTGGTCAGCACTATGCCCAGCCGCCTTTACTTTAACTAATGTGAGTCAGGTACCCATCTGAGCAAGGTAGACTCAGGAATCGAATTTAAGACTTTCGGGTTAGCATTCGAAAACGCCGTCCCCTTCCTCAACCCTTTATACTGGAAACGTAAACTTGTTGTGTTGATGTACACAGCTTTAGTTTTGATACTGTCTGCTGACTTGTATTGTTTAATAGAAGGATAACTGTTGAGGTTGTCATCTATATTGAAAATGTTAAAGCATGGTACCGATTTTCCCCATGAAAACAAAATAGTTCTAGCATCAACTCAATCAAACGAACAAAGCAATGTTTCAGCAGGTTAAATTAAATACAAATAAAAATGACGCACGTTACCTTTATAAAATGGGTGAATTATTTCTATGATCAGACAAAAGATGTGTAATAGACACACTTTTTATGCAAACATGTCTTCTTGTATCTGTGACAAAATATATATTTTACACATGTTAAGTTGAATAAAAAATATAGTTCCAGTTCCAAACCAGACGGTCTATGGGTTTAGTGAAGTAGAGTACACCTGTTTTTGTGGTCAGCACTATGCCCAGCCGTCTTAAATTTCCTTACCGTGAGTTAGGTACCCATCAGAGCTGGGTGGTCTCAGGCACGATCTAGGGTGGATTAGGGGGACGGACTACTGATTAGAAACCGGATTCAAAATTGAGCAATACAGGTTAGGAGTCTAGTACACTACAGCTAGACCACGCCGTACGCGTTAAATTGAATGCTGTAACAATTGATCTCGTTTCACTTTTTCAACATTGAATCTATGTACAATAATATTGTATGAATTTTTCTATTTTTTATTTATTAATCGTTTGACCATTCTAAACTATACTATATTTTTGTATTCACATCACGATCGTTGCAAATGATGCTGAAGTTTAGCAAAGTAATTGTTGCTAGCTATGTAAATACATTACTGCTGTAAATTTGTGGCCAGCTCTTGGTGCGCGAAATGATGTGATATATCTCGGCGCACTAAAGCATGCACTTTTTCTAGAACACTAGCTCAATTATCGCATTTCCGAGCAATTGATTAAAGAGTATTTTACTAATCACGTATTTGTTTGTCATCTGTCTCTGTGTATGTTTTATTAAATCTAGTGTAATGTCAAGTGTCAAGTGTAGGGAGTTACGTCCCCTCACACAAAAGCTGCACTATAATAACAATGAGGCATTGTGGTATTTTAGTGTTGTACTTAGTGTGTGTTGTTTTTTTTTTGGGGGGGGGGGGTAGGTTGGGGGCACGTAATGAGGTTATCTCGCTTAATGATGATTACTGTACTTGGTGTGTTTTTGATGGTGTTTGTGATGGTGCATCATATGTGTGACTGATATTGGAGCATGTGTGATGAAGTAGAACATATTATTGATGTTGTGGCGCAAATGTGTGTGATTTTGTAGCACATATATGTGATATTGTAGCACATGTGTGTAATGTTGTAGCACATGTGTGTGATGGTGTAGCACATGTGTGTGTGGTGTTGTAGCACATGTGTGTGTGGTGTTGTAGCACATGTGTGTGATGGTGTAGCACATGTGTGTGTGATGGTGTAGCACATGTATGAGATGTTGTAGCACATGTGTGTGATGTTGTAGCACATGTGTGTGGGTGATGTTGTAGCACATGTGTGTGGGTGATGTTGTAGCACATTTGTGAGATGGTTTAGCACATGTGTGTGTGATGTTGTAGCACATGTGTGATATGATGTAGGTCATGTGTGTGATGATGTAGCACATGTCTGTGTAATGTTGTAGCACATGTGTGTGGGTGATGTTGTAGCACATGTATGTTTGATGTTGTAGCACATGTATGTTTGATGTTGTAGAACATGTGTCAATGATTTGTTTCCTTGACCTTTACTTCAATAAAACTGTCAACACAAGTACAGTAAAACTTTGATTTCCCCAATCCTTAACCAAACTCTGTTAACGCTAGCCACCCTACGTTCACTAGCAGTCACACAACTAACTACCTCGTCAGTGGCAACAAAAACAATAAATACTGTCTGGCGAATTTGCCACTTTACAACTGTGAAACTGACACATGCGACAATGTAACAGAATTTTCTTCATTTATAACCGTCTACCTCGACATTTTTAATAGAATAAAGTTTCTGTTTAATGTTAGCTAAGTACATCCAGTGTATATTTGAATAATTATTTTTCTTTAATCTGTGCCTGTGTTATTTTGTAATGTACCCATACGCCATGGTTGTTTGGTTATTCTTGTAAAATTGTCAAGTTTTGAAAATATAGGACCACATTGAGGTAAGCAGTTATTTTTTAGTAATTAAAATACCAACATTTTACATATTAATGTATGTAATATATAAATATAATTAAAAAAAGAAATACTGTTTTTTAATTGATAATTTAGTCCTAGTTATTAATAGGCTTGATTGTCAGCTTTATTATTGGATCAGTATTTTTGTAATGAGAAAAAAAACTGTGTAACACGCGACTGCACTTGGCTGCTTCGAATACAGCGTGGGCCAGTCGCGGATTATAAGCTAGGGGCCTACACACGTGTGTTCTGTGTTGTCTCCCAGTGTCAGCCCCATCACACTAAACCTCAGGGGGTAACCATTACATCGTGTCTACAGTGAGGCTGTGTTAGGCAACACAAAAACACAAAGTTTTCTGGAGGGGGAAGATCTTACGGTAAATCTTATCTCTTTGCTTAGCACGGTCTAATTTAAGTTTAATTTAGGTGTAATCTAGGTGTATTTTAGGTTTAATTTAGATCTAATTTAGGTCTAATTTAGGTTCAATTTAGGTCTAATTAAGATATAATCAAGGTTTAATTTAGGTCTAATTTAGTATTAATTTAGTTCTAATTTAGGTTTAATTTAGGTTTAAATTAAGTTAAATTTAGACACGAAATACAACATTTCGTGTCGCATAATTAATTTTAAAACATATGCGTAGTAGGAACAGCCTGGTTAGAAGTTAGAGCTTACGACTGTAAACCACGTAAGTATGACGACATGAAGTCCCCCTATCTCTGATTGGTATTTTAGTGAAACCAAGATGACTGGACATATTGCTGACCTCGCTGTCTCTCCATATGTTGATTTCTATGAAACAAATTAACTCTACTTCACCTGCCCCACAAGACAAGGGAAACAGATGATGCGTGGAATGTGAAAAAATCATGACATGCAATAAACATCTCAATAATGAGTTCCTTGTGTAGCTAATCTTAAGTAAAACAGTTTTGATATCTGACATAACCCATACTACATGTTTTGTATGACAAGATATGGGCGACAAACAGCCAGAGGCGTAGCGATCCTTCCCGGCGCCCGGGGCAAACTTTCAATTTGGCGCCCCCCCCCCCCCTTATATATATATATATATATATATATATATATATATATATATATATACATGTGTGTGTATAATTATGTGTGTGTGATAGTGTGTTTATATATAAGCTTGTGTGTGGGTAAGAGTGTATTTGTGTGTGTAAGCGTGTGTGTAAGCGTGTGTGCTACAGTCCGGACAAGATTTAATAATTACATTGTATGATTTTCATTCCTTAAAACTTTACGACAATTTAATTCCCATTAAGATGCGTTTATCGTTTTTGCGAAAGATTAGTAATGTCAGTAAAAAAAAATAAGCCTGATCTGTGTTAGAGGGTAGTTTGTAGCTAACGCTAATATGTTTAAACCAGCCTTTTATGTTCTAGTTTTGGAACGATCTCTGTTGTGATATGGTACATAGTTGGATTCGAAGTTTATTAGAGTAAGGACACACAAGTGACATACAAGAAGAAGTTATCAGAAATATTTATTGTTCACATTGGAATACGACATGGGTATTTCGTTGATTGGTTGATGGTATGACAAAACAAGCTAGAGAAAACAAACTGGAATCCAACGGATGTTAACAGCTCGTAGTCTTGGATTTCGCAGATTTGCCCTGCCTTCTCGCACACAGAGTTTCTTCCAGGCATCTCTTCGGGGGGGGGGGCGAAGCCCCCCGAAAAATTGTTACCGCCCCCCGAACGAAATGAAATTTATATGATTTATATATAGAAAATATATAGTTTTAACAGTGTCCGCCCCCCCCCGAAGAAAGTCTACCGCCCCCCCCCCCCGAAAATTTCAAGTGCCCCCCCCCCCCCCCCCCCGGAGAAAAAAGTCTGGAAGAAACACTGCTCGCACAACGTCAACAACAAATGCAGAACTAATTGTATTGATTGATGAAGCTGTAACAATCAATTTAATGATAGCCCATGACGTTCTGATTATAATCAGCAGCAATAAAACGCGTTTTAACACTCTAAGAAAATGTGGAATTCAAATGCATTGTCAAAAAAATTCAATCAGGATCTATAACTAAATGTGGTCTCTTTAACTGTATGGCTTGGAGCTAGATTACAAACAGTGGAATGAAATAAGAGCATGGAAAAAAGTGGTGGTTAGTGGCTTAGGGATTCAAGAATCCGTGATATTTAGTTCTCATATAGTTCAGTGATCCACGTAAGATGTAATGCAATCAGTCAAAAGTATCTGATCTCTCACGTTGAAGTTAAGAGAATCGTAAGAATCTTACAAAGAACTAGTCGCGTCTTTTTTTTAACAAAACTGGCTAGTGAAATTGTACATTACGCGTTAATACACTTGGTTTCTTTACTAAGTGTTAAGAGAGTTATCTACCCACCAATCCAGTACAAATACTTGCGATTTTTGTTAGCGAAAAAAGCGCCCCCCACCCCCACACACACTCATCACAACCATCTTGGACAAAGTTTGTAGAGCGGTTTTTAACGTAACTAACTTTTTTTTTTAAATGTTACACAATTATACAATGCACAGTACAATTCGTTTTTTTCTGAGGGCTAAAGGTTGTTTACTCAGAATCCAGTGTAATTTTGCTATTTTATTTAGCCTAAAAGCGCCCCCCTGCACCATCTTGATAAAAGTCTCTAACGTATTTTACAGTTCAACAATCGTACAATACGTTTTAATACAATTGGTTTCTTTTAATAGTGGTAACGTTTATCGACTCAACAATCTAGTGTAAATTCTTCCGTTTTAAGTCTCGAAAAAGCGCCCCCCCCCCCATCTAGGAAAAGCTTCAAAGCGGTTTTGCCGGTCACTGTTTCTTAAGAGTATATGTTTTACATTAAGAAATCAAGGTAGAAAACAGTTAAATCAGTATGTAAAGGCGTGTAGCCATTACATTTCTTAACTTAGACAGTTTATAATTCAAAACTGCAGCATAAAATCAGCTTTAAAAAATTTTTCCCACCCCTTTTGGCGCCCCCATAGGGTCGGCGCCCGGGGCGGCCGCCCCCCCCCCCCCCCCCCCGCCCCCCCACCCCCTAGCTACGCCTCTGCAAACAGCTGGCTAATCGACTAGTGTTGAAAGAAAACATGAGCTCCCAATAGGAAGAAATCCCCGAACCAATGTAACCGACCTGGTGTATCGAGTCGACACAGCAACACACCGTTAAGGATAATAAGCTCCGTGAGATCATAAACATTAGCGGCCGATGGTAACACGGAGCTAGCAACAGCCTTAAGTGAAAAGTTATTTTGAGATTGCTTGCTTTAGACGGTTTTCGGTTATTCATTCGTATCTGCACCATATGAGTTGAACTTTTTAGACGTAGTAAACAAATAATTAAAAATAAATAAATATAAATAACCGTAATAAGAAAAAGCCTTCAAATCTACTGAAGGTAAGAAAATTAAACTAATTTGGTTTCTATAATAAAAGATATAGTCGCTGATGAGATTTCTTACATATTTTAGCTACCAAAGCGTATATTAAATGATGTAGTAAGTACATATTTAAAAATTAACAAATATAAAATACCTTAATAAGAAAAAGCCTTCAAATCCATTAAAGTAAGAAAATTAAACAAATTTGGTTTCTTAATAAAAGCTAAGATCGCAGATGAGATTTCTTACATATTTTAGCGACCAAAGCGTATATTAAATGAGGCAGATTAGTTTTATTGCATTGACATCGAAGAAAAAGGTATCTGGAAAGTTTGAACGAAATCGCTGCATTACAAAAGTGTCAAAATTGAGTTACACGATTTACCACAAACCCACAAACTGACGTTGTTAACTAAGTAAAAGCTTGTAAGAACCATGGACAAGGACTATGGACTACACTCAAATGAACTTCCAAACAAAGTCTTGTATTGTATACTAATAAATGTTTTGTCTCGGAGTAGGCTTACTGATCTTGTTTTTTTCTTTAAAAGTTCATCAATGTTTTAAGTTTTTTTAATTCTAATTTTGGAAATACAAATCTTATTCAATGTATTCTTTAATTTTTCAATGCATTTTCATTTGAGGAGTTCAATACTAACATTGCATGAAAATATAATATTTTTAGCGTAATTTCCATTCTGGAGAATTGCGTTTATTAACTCGTCATTTCTGAGAATGGATGAATGGATGGATGGATGTGTGTCCGCAGCTTTAAGTCGTCTTTAAGTCGTATCTCCTCCTCAACGAAGCAATATCGAGGACTAGTTCCAAAGCAAATATGTTAAGCGAATTCCGAGGATGAACATAGGCCAAAAAAATTCCCGGAATTCCTTCCTGGATTTCCCGGAAAAGCCAAAAAACCTCAGAAAAATGCAGTTTTTTGCCCATATCTCGGCATCCAGACCACTTAGCAACTTGAAACATTTACCAATCGATTCCTGTCATAATTTAGAACAATATTGCCGAAGAAAGTTTTCAAAAATATCCTTTCGTTCGGTCACAACATTTTTTTTAAAAGCGCGACAACTAAACACCCCCTACACGTCCGCATTATTTAAAATTACATTATACATGATACATTACAGTACTATATAGCAAAGAAGGCAGTGGAAGGCGAAGGAAAGGAGGGTAAATCATGTGACCTGGCTGGCTTAGCAGTGAACTGCGCGAGACGCAGGCGAAAGAGGAGGAGCTATGATTTATCTCGATTTAAAATTGTTATGGATAACATAAGGAAATTGCGCTTAAATTGTCACTAGACTTTTTATTAACTTGTTTTAATCTTAATGCAAAAGTTTAAATATACTAGTCATAATTATTTTAACACAATCATCATTTTAAGTAAGTTTTATAAATAATAATATATAACAAAAATATTGTTCTAGTTGGAACACATTTTTATATTAAAACTCAAATGGTGTAGGCAAAGAGAAGAACAAATTTCTCACCAGATTGCAATGTAGCATGGTCAGAAAGGTGCCTGTTTCAATTTCCTTGTACTAATGTTCTGATTGATGTGTTATTTTTTTAACAGATACAACACGGAAATTTCAGCATGTCAAGCGAAACTGACATTTCGAAATATTTTACTGGTAATATCGTCGTTTTATGTAAAAGCTTAGATTTATAGTATAAAACGTTTATATATACGAAACAAAACCTATTCTAAAAAGAGCGTGTATTAGTAATTTGATTACGATATCATAAAAAATAATACTAATGATGCAAATAACAATAATAATTTGAAATAATAATAATAATAATAATAATAATAATAGCAGAAATAATAGATTTTAGATTTTTATCTCGTTTTATATAGTCAAAACTCATTACCAAATTGAAATTCTTACATTAATAAAATTTATTTGGCTTGCCTGTACAGGTACCCATGAAGTGCAAAAATGCCATGAAGGTCAATGTGAGTTAGATCTACACACACACCTGGCAAACTGCGAGAAAAATCCTGGCCATGCAGGTTTTGTACCTATAAATAAGTTAAGCGTTGAACAGTTTCCTGTTGGTTACCATGACAACAACCTGTATGAGCTTACGAAAGCGCTAGCTGATTTAACGGTTCGAATCGCCGTTAAATTCACCAGTTTCGACAGACCGGAGTTTGTACCAGGTACTGAATATCCGTATCCTTTCTACGATAGCAGGGGACAGAACTCACTGAGGACAGGGACTGGGAAAGTGTTTCATATGAAGAAATATACAGAGGGAATGGACGAGAAATACGGGGCGTACAGAACGTGTCCGTGTCCTGAATGTGACCACTCGGACACGCCCAGCAAAGTGTGGTGGGAGATTATTGTGGTGACAGCTAGACATGTGGTTTATGACTCTAGCGAGGCAAGACAGTCTAGCTGTAGGTTGTGGTTTGATGAGGATAATTGTCCTAAGTTCAATATTGTGGGGTATAAGGTGAACGGGACAAGCTTCAATGAGGACTGGAGTGATTTGGTTTGTGTAACACATGACTTAGACCTAGGGGATAAGCTCTATGGGATGTGGATGAGATGGGATGACCTATGGTTTCCTGTAAGTGATAAGTACAAGAGTCGCCGAGATGTGGACAAGCTGACCATTATAGTGTCTCACCCGCACGGCTGCTCTAAGCAGGTCTCTATAGGTCACTGGGTACACAAGCAGGAGGTGGGGAGGTACGGCACCAGGTACACGTACACAACTTGTACCTGTCCAGGTAGCAGTGGGGCAGGGGTCTACAGACTGGGATGGTTGTCGTGCCATCCTCACAGTGGTACTTCCTCTGGTGGGTTAAATTATAGTGGCACCGATCAAGGTTGAGAGGGATTTTTTCTGCTTGTCTAGAATATAATAAAATTGTACGGCATCTTTCATGTTAAAAAATCCCCTCGTATACTTGAGAAATAAATATTAAAATACAATTTTCTTTTGTTCCAGTTCTAAAAGCTTGTGTATGACATTATTGTGTAACTATGTAAGTGATGGAAACGTATGTTTGTTTTGCTGTTCAAGGGAAAGTTAAGTTAGCCGGACTTAAAGCTGACAACACTTTAACTTCTATTCGAAGCCATGAATTAGGTGAACTCTATCTTTACATTTGACCCTCAAGTCTAGAAGGGTAAATTTTACAATTATTTCTAAACTAATTTCGATTTATCTATCTTACAATATACTATGATACTAAAATATACTATATATTAAAATTAGTGATGTGTAAATAAAGATATATATTAAATTCTACTAAGTATTTTGCTTATCTTCGCTTAGATTTTTCAAAAAATGTATACCTAAATTCTTACCCTTTATATTATCACTAAGTTGATTCTAATAATACATTTTATATTGATTTAACCGCGATATTTTAAATTAATATTGTTATCATGACAAATTAAAATAATTATTTTTACCTTTTCCACTTACAACGATTTTATTATTTAATAAATGTCGGTGGCATTGCATTGGTTAGGCGCATAAAGTATCCTACCTCCTGCAGATGATGGGGTATTGGCTTATGACTAGAGCTGAAATAAATGTGGGATAAAAGAAGAAAAATAATATTATAAATATTGTAACAAGCATGGATGATATGTAGAGTAAAATGAGACACAAGAAATCATACATTCTTTCCTTTTAAACAGCTATACCTATAACAGTCGTTATAGGTTTTTGATTTAAAAACAAATAATAATTATTTATTTTCTAGAGTTACACAGTTCAGTTTCAAAGACAACCATAAAGTGTATATTATAAGGTAATCAAATGCAGAAAGTAAATGGTATAAAAACTAGTTTAAAAAAATCTTTAGAGGACACAGCTCTGCGTGAAAGTTTAGTGTTATCCTAAAGCTTGAAATAAACATACACGGGGACAGTGGCGTAGCGAGGTCGGGTGTCACCCGGTGCGGCACTTAATGGTGTCACCCCCCAGAGGCGTAGCGACCCTTCCCCCGGGGACAAACTTTCAAGTTTTCGATTTGCACCCACCCCCTCTAACTTTCGATTTGCACCCCCCCCCCCCTCAAGTTTTCGATTTGCACACCCCCCCCCCTCAAACTTTCGATTTGCACCCCCACCCCCCTCAAGTTTTTCTGTATAGATTTTGCTATTTTTTGCCTTGGTGTCACCCCCCTAAATGGTGTCACCCGGTGCGGTCCGCACCCCCCGCACCCCCCTCGCTACGCCCCTGCACGGGGAAACTGGAATCAGACATAAGTAAACTTACCTTTTTGACATTAGGCCCAAAGGGCGAGTTAAGTAGTTTTCTTTTGTTTTAATGTCCTCGGCATATTAAGGGATAGTGTTGCTAACACAGTGCCTAAACGTTTTTACTTTCCCCATCGGGACTGGGATACTAACTAATATACAATATATTATATAGAGACCCGCGCTTTTCTTTTATAATAATATAAAAGCAAGTAATGTTTAGATATTTGAATTTTAGATTTAGGCCTGAATGTGTTGGCAAAACTAATAATTCGTTCTTAACTGTTTTACCTGTCAACTTGTTATGTGCAGTACAGTCAGTTGCCTCATATTTCAGCCTGTTTTTATTACTGGATTTACCTCCATAGCATTTGTCGATAGCATTTGTCCATCCAAGAAAAAAGTTTTAGCAGTTCCCCGTCTAAGATGGTTTGCTGTCCATAGATACCAAGCCCCACAACCCCTGTTTTGAATTATCTAACAACATGTATTTAGAATATCGAAGAACAAGTGATTGAAGAATATAAGAATAGGTATTTGAAGTACCGAAGTACATGAATAAGAATAGGTTAAATACTGATAATTTGAAGTGATGAGGCACAGGTATTTGAAGCATCCAAGTACATAAGTTTAAAGTATCGAATCTAAGTACATAGATTTGAAGAATCGAAGGGCAGGTTTGTAAGTATTGGAGAATATTAAAAAATATGCACGTCGATATCATTATGCAAGTATTAATAAAGAGGTAATTAAATGATGTATTGTATTTGATTTGTCAAATCATAAATAACTAATCTATTGTGGCACAGGTAATAGAAGTATAGATCAATCGGAGGAAGAAAATATCCCTCATACAATTAGGTTTGCGTACTCGCATGAGCGTTGACGTAAACGTTGTATCTTATATATAAAGTTCAATTCTGTATGTAACATGTTTGTAAAGTGTAATGTTTGTCGTGGATACTTCAATGGATTTAAGTGTTAGATTATTATAGTGCTCATAGTCTAAACGTATGAGATACAAAATTACTATTGAAAGTCTTTAAAAACAATTTTCATTTTATATACTTAGAATAATAATTTTCAATTATCAACATTACATAAAAAATTTAAAAAGTGTATCAACGTTTATAAAATTTCTACAATTGTGTCTGAAATGTATTGACTACACAGTTACTTCCCTTTAAAAAAAAACATTAATCGGGGGAAGAAAGAATTTACTTTTTATTACTTTGTTTTGGTGTTTAAAAAAAAATTATTACATAATTAGCGGGGATTGATTAAGTGCAATGTCGTTGGTATTTTTAATACGGTCTTTTATTTATTCTATACACTGAACATACTGTTCACTAATTATTTTTTTTAAATCAATAACATTTAATAAGCCAGGTCCTACAAATCCTATATTTTTATTTCTTTCCATTTACGGATAACCTTGGAGTATTATAATATTGTTCACTACATTGAAACAGGCGCGTTCGCCGACGACCCTGCACGGTTCGATTTGGCGCCCTGGCCTATCATGTGAGCGCTATGCTGCATAATTTCGTTTTAAACAGTGCGACAGACTATGGATAAGAAAGGTTACTATAGTCTTTAAGTGCATCAAATCCGACCGTCCTCCGGCACCCCGACAGAGTGCTATGAATAAGTTGGATACTATAGTCGTTTACTAAGTTGAATCAGGCGGTTACGCCGCACGTCGTCATGGTGCGATTTGGCGCCCCCGGCTAGACTGTGGACACTTTGAGTTTATCTTTGCGTTTGTGTTTTCTTTGTGTTTGAGTTTGGGTTTGCGTTTGTGGTTGTATTTGCGTTTGGATTTGGGTTTGGGTTTGTTTTCGTTTGTTTTTTTTCTTTGCGTTTGTGTTTTCGTTTGCTTTTTACTTTCTCGTATATACAAAGTATAGAGAAAGTATTGTAATCGTGCACAAAAATCACTTGAAATTTTAACAATTTTCACCGTATTACACCTCAGTCCTTCATGACATCCGAAGTATAGAGGACTTATTTTAATCGGGCAAAAATTATCAATCCAGATTTATCAAAATTAAGAGGTTTTATGCGTAGTCCAATCTGAAAAACTGGGCTTTGCAATTCTGTCCGTATGTCTGTGTGTCTGTCTGTCTGTCTGTCTGTCCGTGTGTAAACACGATAACTTGAGTACCGTTACAGCTAGGTTGATGAAATTTCATATATAAGTATTTTATCAAAATCGTAGATCTATATCAACTTTTGAGCGTTTTCCAATAACCGGAAGTGGTACTTTTCCTACTTTGAATTTTTCAAAAGCCTATAACTTGAGTACTATTTCAGATAGATAAATGAAATTTCACATGTAAGTATAAGATCTAATTCTCTACCTTCTGGTAAATTTTGAGTAATTTCTGTTGAACGGAAGTAGTATTTTCGCTCCTTCCGATTTCTCAAAAAACTAATGTAAATTTTTAAGTACTAATAATATTGCGCACTATTATGCACTTTTTTTTATTTGGCGTTCACTTGGTGTGCAATTCTTTTGTCTACGAGATTTTATTCTATTTTTAAAACTTTAAGTATTTAAAATGGATTAAAAATCATGTCTATAGCCTGAGTTCCCATCCCCTGTTGTTTTATATAAGAATATTCGAGAAAGTTTAGGGGAGATCACTACCGGTTTATTTTCTTTGCGTTTGTGTTTTCCTTGTGTTTGTGATTGTGTTTGTGTTTGCGTTTGTTTTTGTGTTTTCGTTTGTGTTTGTATTTGCGTTTGTGTTATGTTTGCGTTTTGTTTTGTGTGTTTTGGTTTTGTTTGGTTGTGGTTGGGTTTGTGTTTGCGTTTGGATTTGTTTTCGTTTGATTTTTGTTTGCGTTAGTGTTTGTGTTTTCTTTGTGTTTGTGGTTGGGTTTGTCTTTGCGTTTGTTTTTGTGTTTTCGTTTGTGTTTGTTTTGTGTTAGTGTTATGTTTGCGTTTTTTGTGTGTGTTTTGGTTGGTTGTGGTTAGGGTGGGCAATGCCGGATAAATGCTGATTACTAAACACACAAGTTATGGTCCTTTACATATACGTTTTTCGGAGATGCCAGTGCAGGGCCTGGCCGGGACGGCTAGTAGCATCTAAAAATAAACGTATATGTAGACGTAAATCTATTCTTAGATTTAGTCCTTGAAACAAAAACATAGAATTAGACATGAATATGGACATGGACATTAGCATAGCAGTGGAGAATATCATAAGACCTAGACATACAAAAGACGAAGACTAAGAAACATCTTTAGATAAAAATATAGAGATCAATTATAAACACATCTAATGAAAGGGAACAAGGGCGGTTTGGACAGAGGTGTGTGTGGAGGGGGGGGGGGGAGAACTGTAACGTAACGACACAAGTTTGCTATTTTAAACTTTGATGTTAAAAACTCAGTGAATGTAGACGAGATTTTATGTTTGGAAAACATTTTTGTGTGTTAAATAGAAATTGATCAATGCAATCAATTTTGAAACGAATTCAGAAACAAAAAAAAAAAAGAAATCGATGTGTAAAAGAAAATTTAAAAATCAATTTTGAGATGGGGGTAGTAGGTGGGGGGGTTAAATCACTATTTTTACGTTATAGTATTATCTTTATCTTACATACTCCAACCATAATTGAATGATTCACTTCCGAAAAATACTAGCAGGAATAATATAACAAAGTTGGGGCATGGGGGGGGGGGGGTGCTTGAGACAAGAATTACAATACGGTTTTATTGCCCTGTGGGTTGTAATTGAGGCTGTGAGTCGGGCTAGAAGGGCACTTGAAAACTACGATGGGGGTGGGGATGGGAACTCTTTAATTTCCCAGGAACACTTGAAGCTTTTAGG